GTGGCAGGTACAGGAAACACCAGATTTAAAGCTTTTAAGCATAACTCATACAACCTAAGTTGTCAGCAGAAAGATCCAGTTATTTATAACTAAAGCTAAAACTACTAAATTATTGCACCCGATGTTAACATGTATATTAATTAAATGTAAAAGTTTTATAATATGAAGTGAAGTCATTAACCACGTTTAAACATCTCTTCTCACAATCTATAGTAAAGTTAATTATACAGTATAGTCTAATCGTTATCACCATAAAAATCATCCACTCTTAATTTGGTTATATATTACAAAGGAAAATAAAGCAGTTAATGCAGGGAAAGTGCAGTGGAACCCCTTTCTGAGGCTGGTATTAGAAGGGGATCAACTATGCCTTAGAGGCGAACCCTATTATAGCAGTAGTAGGCTTTTAGGAAGATAATTAGATCTGCAAATAGCTAATTTTGCATTATACCAAGCCACAGAACAAGGGCTTTCTATGGTAGATGATCAACAATTATAATAAAAGGGAAACTACTGTTTTCCTATCTAGTTAAACACTTGGCAAATAGATTTGGTATGGTTTTAAAATGCACAAGTGAAAGAAAAAAAAAAGATACCAGGGTAACTTCCCTCAAAATCATGCATGCATTAAAAAAATACATTCTGGGATCAAATCACAATAAATGGCTGTTATAATTTGTGTACTTTAAAATTAATACACATAATAATTAGGCATAAAGAATTCTTTACACACCAGTAATGGTAAGATAAAAAAAATTAGTCACAAGTCACCTGCAAAGTTACAAGTGAATGAAATTTTTATGTATATTTGAATTTTAAAGAGGCATTAGATAAATCTCGAACCAAAACACTAATTCTAAATTGGTTTTATATATATATATATATTTTTTTTTGTGACTCAGCTTTTACAGATCTATTTTTTTTTTTAAATTTCTGGTTTTTGGGTCACACTCAGCAGTGCTCAGGGGACCATATGTGGTGCTGGGGATTTGCTCAAGCATCACAGCTGACATAGGCAGATGCAAGGCAAGTACCTTACCACCTGGATATCTCTCTGGCCTATGGACCAAATTTTTATCTAGATTATCACAGGCCCTTCCTTAATCTGAAGATCACAGTTTTTGTTAAAAGACTTCAATGCCTATACTTTGGTAACAGTACTTTAGTAGCAAGTTATTAGTGTTTTCCCCTTTGTATTAGTTGCCAAAAAAAAAAAAAAAAAAGAAAAGTCAATACGCAGAGCAGTATTTTAAAGTACTTAAAGGAAAGACTTTAATTGCAATTATGCATGACACACTCTTCTCTTGGGAAGAATGTTTTTGCACCGTTATCTGTTAATACATTCAATATGAATATATGTTAGTTATATGAGGCAAAAAAAAAAAAATCAAAACTTAAGAACCAAAACCCCACAACCAACCACTTTTTATATGGTAAAAGATTTAAGTTAAATTTAGGCTAAAGGTAGTTTTAAGACATAGTCTAATTCTGGAATCCTGACTAAAGAGGGTAGTTTAGTGCCAAACAGAAAAATATCTACTGTATTATCTTGGTACGTTCATGAAAATGAAGTCCAAATTAAATTTAGAAAGAATCTGAGCATAATGTGTCTTTAATGTTACCAAAGCAAAAAGAATACAAGAGTATTCACCTGAGATAAAACTTGTATCTGAATATTTTATAACTGAGTAGACAAAGCATTTCAATAAAGTCAGTTGAAATTATTTTAAAATATACATCTGATCCTATTTTACAATATATGCAATTTAAGCAATTCTGATCAATGAAAAAGTCTTAACAAAGAAATCACAGTGTTTATTAATATGTTAATTACAAAATGTATGCTACTCATTTTGTTTTTAAGATGTAATGGCTTAAGTGTTTTAAATCTATTCTTCTGAAATCTAACTTGCATCACAAAATTAAGTAGCAGTAATGTAAAGCATCAGAACTGGCTCTTAAGGATTATTTACATGTTGATTATTTGGGAAATAATCAACCAAAAATATAAAAAAAGTGATTTCCTTTTTATACAGTATGAAGTTATTAAAGATTAGACAATACAGAAAGCAAAACCCTTTCCTGAATAAATGAATATCTGTGGCACTATGTTCACTTACTAAAAATGAACTAAAACATGGATCTGCCAAGCATGCATTTAAATTATATAAAATATACTTTCTGTTTCCAACTTAGGTTGATCAGCAGCTTTTGTTCTGTTAGAATCCTTCAAAGAGAAAAGCTTGAACAGGAAAAAGAAGGCATATATAAAACAGTAAACACTGACCTCCTGAGGTTCCTACAACATAAAAATATTCAAGTAGAAAATCTACATCACTTAGCAGCGGCTATTTCTGAAGTTGAGCACACTAACAGCACTTTAGTGTGTAAGGAGCAGATGAAGTAAGCCGTGCCTTAAGCATGCCAAGAGGCAGAAACACTGGAATGTAACAAAGACAAACTCACAATTTCATAGGCATTCAGTCAACATTCAAGACTATAAGACTACACCACAAATATTATGTTGCTTTATATATATATCCCATGATGTATTGTTTATCAGAATAAATGCTAAATCAGAGCTTGCCTCAAAAGATAACTTAAATGGCTTCTGCAAATTCCCATACTATACTACATAACTGACATATATATATCAGAAAAAAATTAACTTCAAGGGGAAAACCTTTGCAAGTCTTACTTATTTTCAAATCTTCCATTAATTTAAAAACAGATTAATATGAAAACGGATATTCTAATGTTGTATGACTAATTATTAGAAATCAGCCTTTCATCAAATAGCAGACAACATGGCTTTTCAGTCAATGCAGAACTACCAATTACAGATCTTGATAAATTTTACTGCAGGGTTTTCATTTTTTTCTGTTAAATATTTCAAATGTTTGGCAAAGAATTTTGCTGTTAATTTCAATTTAGATTACCTACCATATGCCAAATTAAATATCTCCCATGAAATTTTAGAACATACTAAAAAATTATATATTATAGAGTCTTACTTGAATTTAAGAATAGTAATGCTGGTTAGGGTTTAAAGACTTGGAAGCAGATTTTGAACTTCCAGTGAAGTCATGGCACTAGAAAAGCAAACTGTCACATATACTTTGGATCCAACTTACAATTTAAAAAAACATACATTATAGATGAGTTTCAGGGTCTACAGACTGAAATTTGCAAAGCCAAGGTAGAGGAAAGAAGGTAAAGAATATGTTAAAACACACACACACGAAACAACAAAAACCTTTCTGCATGCTACCATGCATTTAAAATTTTTTGAAACGGTATTTATAAATCCACACACATACAGCTCAAACTTCAGTGCAATGGCTGTATCATTCAACACCTTTAGAAGAATAGAACCATGCAAAGAGGAGCAACTGCTTATAAAAATGGTTATTCGGTATTTATTCTGCAATGCGAAGGTGACAACTAAAATATAAAAAGGTTGTTATGGCTTAATATTTTTGTTGCAGATTAAATATGCAGCATTGAAAAATGGAAAGGTGTGGCTTCATCTCTGACCAGCAGAGTCAAAAAGAAAAAAAATCTCTCCATTTTCCTTCATCATCATGGGATACACTGTTCAGGCAAACCAAATTAATAAAGACTTGCACTTTTATATGGACACAAGATCAAGTGTACCAGTTAGGTTTTCACATTCACAGTATAAAAGAAAATACACATGGAAGGAAAAGTAAAGGGTTAACTTAACAAGGATTTATTCACAGGAATACATGTAAGTAGAGAAAAATAACAGAAAAGCTAAACAAATGAAATGAAGAGGATCCAAACAAACTTTCACTCTGTAGCTTTTTACTTGCACCCTTGTGTGCATATATATCTAGGGCACAGAGGGCCACCAACATGCGCCAATACAGTGTAGGAACCCTGCATTACATCCATTAACTTAAACATATCTTTAAGATCATGCTTTGAACAAAAACAAAAAACAAAACAAAACAAAAAAAAACTTAGAAGGCAATTAAGTTGAGTGGGAATAAACATTGAAATATAGCAATCATGTTTCCAACTTCTACAATTGTCTTTATGTGTCAACTAACATTTATGCAGCCTCTTACAGATCTTTGACCATGTAATTTAAGTTTGAGGAGTTCTGATAAAATCACTAGTAGTATATAACCATGCAGAAAGCACATCACACTGACAGCACAGAGGCAAAGATTTTGCACAGGTATATCAGCTTTCCACATTGTGCAGGTTACACACAATACAATATCAATCTTATTCCTAACAGATCCTAAAAAGTTATTTCAAGGCCTAGCTGTAAACTACAGTACTTTATATCTATATTCTTAATAAAAAATAAAACCCACAAATCTTAAAAAGGAATTTTTAAATGCAGGGCTATATTGAATTGGTAAACGGCAACACAAACTGGCGCAACAGAGGTAAATGGATACCAATCTCACTCTATGTGATGCAAGCATGCTACTTTCCCACTAATTTAAATAAAGTACTTTCAGTCACTATGAGAGCCAGAATGCATGCCTGAACCTTAAACTGCACTTTAAAAATAATACCTTGGCCTAGAAATTAAATCTAATGAAGTACAACCATCAAATTATACCCACTACATTAATGTTCTAATGCAAAAGATGTTGATCTTTAGTTTGATATGCCCAACCCCATTTATTCCTCCCTCCCTGCCCACCCCACAAAGGTAAAAGGAGTGACTCATTTGGCATTTCACAGGGTGCTTCGTTGTTTAAATTTGTTTTGTTTTATTTCCAACTTTTTTGGGGTACCTTAAAATTGTAACTTCCAAGAACCTGCTTCTATGGGAAGGCAAGCTGACTAACTCTATTAGGCTTTATCTGTATAGTTCTTCATCAGCATGCAGAACAAAACAAAACAAAACAATACAAAAAAAAAAAACCCCAAAACAAAAACAACCAAAAATTCAAAAAAAAAAAAAAGGCCCCATCATGTGGGAAAATTTATAAAAACATTTAAATTAAAAAAAAAAAAACAAAAACAACTTCTTGACTTGTCTGTAACCCCTGTTCTTAGGCTTCCTTTATCGTGCACTATAGAATATCCCTCCTTCTTACCCCTGTGCATCATTTATATGGTTCTTGTTTGGTACAATTCCCCTTAATATTCCAGAATGTACTACTGTTTTGTGAGTAGACTGAATATAGTTTGTTTTTTTTTGTTTGTTTTTTTGCTTCTTCACATCCAGTGCGGAGTTGAATTGGAGACAGATTTCCACCCACAAAGGCTCCAGATGTTAAAACTTTTCCCAACATCAACTTAATACAGTGACGGCAACACCTCCCTCCCGCCCCTCCCAGTAGGGTTGGGACTGTACTGTATTCCCTACTGGTCTACCCTTCCCCCCTGTAAAGGGTAACATTTTCCCTGGGTGCAGAGGCTCCCTCATGGTCTCCAAGACTGAAGGACCTAAAGAAAAAAAAGAAACAATTTTATATTTTAGAGTGTTTCATTTTTTAAAAGTCAGTGGAGCAGAAAATCAGTCAAGGGACAACGTTATCTTTAACCAAAACCAAACCAAACCCCAGAAATTGTACAAACAACCTATCTTATGATTATACTATTCAATGACAAACTTAGGGCTCACTGAACAGTCATCCAAGTTGGGGACATGAAGAAAGGCAACACATTTACTTAGACAAAATGTGTCTTGTAGAAATTCACGTCTAATTTTTCATCTCCTTTGCATAATGGCCCCAGAGGGAACCAGCTAGTTCCTATATAATATACTTTTCTCCAGAATTAAATAACATTTTCTATTTCAGACAGCCACTTTCCTTAGTGAGAGTGAAAACATTATCTATTTTTGGTCAAAACTAATATAGACTAGTAGTAAGCAAAAAATCAAGAAAATAAAGGATGGGGCTGGAGCGATAGTACAGGGAGTAGGCTGCTTGCTTTGTATGCAACTGACCTGGCACCAGTCCAATCCCTGGCACCCCAGCCATATGGTCTCCAACTGAGCCCTGAGATCTCTTCTCTCCACCAGTGCAGAGGCAGGAATAAGCCCCAAGCATATGGGTGTGCCCCCAGACAAAACAAAAATAAATAAAATACTCGTTTTTGCTTGTCTTGATGTTTCAGCTTAGAAACACTGAAAAACTAAATTAAGACACACAGAAAAGGAAACACAAGCTCTGTTCACAGGGTGACCTCTTAACATTATCAGAAAGATAACCCTCCTATCCAAAAGAAGTATAAAGATTCAATGCAGTCCCAATAAAAATTACTGACAAAGAGTTCATATTGTACTGAAAGGTCACTACAATCGGCAAATAAAAAAAAACTTTCACTGTCTATTTTATAATGCAATGCTGGGGACAGGGCAGTTCTTTAATAGAAATATTGAAGGAGTATTATTCTTTTTGGGGATACGCACCCTGCACCCCCCAGCAGTGCTTGGGGGCCATATGTTGTGTCAAAGATTGAAACTGGGTTGGATGTGTGCAAGGCACTTAAGTGTCTTACCCACTATACTATTGCTCTGACCCAGGAATATTAAAAATTCTGATCTACTGAGCCCATGACTGTTCAATTTCTACTCAGTTCTTTTCCCTGAAGATCACCATATAGAAAGTCCTTGGTATATCTGAGACCATGACTTTATATTACAAACTAAATCACTTTTGCTCTACCATACAGAGCTAGTGTTAGAAACCTCTAGCAGGGCAAAAGAAAATAAACAGTAGAATCAATGTTGAGTATTCTAACTAGCACATAAGCTTGCAATCAAAGCCGGTTCAATCCCTTGTAGTGCTTGTGATCCCTCAGTACTGCCGGAGTGATCCAGGCAGACCCAGGAGTAGCACCTGAACACTGCTGTGTGTGACTCCTCAACTAAAGAATGCCTAAATATAAAATAATTAAATATTCAAACTAGAGCCAGGCAGCATTGCTGGTTCCCCACAAAACATTCTTTAGCTTTTGCTTATGTAAATTTGCAGTCCAATATAGCATGATAATATACTACTCAAGTTCTGTAGAAAATGAATAGGTTTTACTCTATTCTACAGTTTCAAGTTCACAGCCCAAGTTTCTTCATCAAGAAAAAGTCCAAATCTTACAACTTACCCCTAATTATGGGACTGCAGCATTCAAGTGTGAGATTAAACACCATAAAAAGCTGCAAGACGCTCTTTTAAGGGAAGTGGAAACTGGTCAGAGAAACGCCTCCAATTTTCATCCCCAACTTGATTTTTAAATCCATGAAGGATCTGCAAAGAGCAGGAAAAAAATTTTATTAATGAGAAACACCCAGATCTGTATAACTTCTGAAATCAAACACTATGGTCTTGATATTGTATCCATTTAAAGTAGTGTTTTCAAACTGTTGGAGCAACCCACCCATCTCTATCTACATCTGCCTTAACTGCACCTCACAGTATGACTTTGAAAAGATTTCAGGAAATAAACTTTCATTCTAGTAAGTGTTTATTAAAATCAATCTCTCCTAATTTTTATCATATGAAATAAAAAACACAGTACAGAGCACAATTTTTTTTCTTTTGCCTTTTTGGGTCACACCCAGCAATGCTCAGGGGTCACTCCTGGCTCTGCACTCAGGAACTACTCCTGGCGGTGCTTGGGGGACCATATGGGATACTGGGGATCGAACCCGGGTCGGCCGTGTGCAAGGCAAACGCCTGACCCGCTGTGCTATGGCTCCAGCCCCAAGAGTACAAATTTTTAAAAGCTTTTGGGCCACGCCCGGAAATGCCCAGGGATCCTCCTGATTCTGTACTCAGGAATCACTTCTGGAGGTGCTCAGGGGACCATATGGAATGCCAGGGATAGAATCCAGGCTGGCCCCATGCAAGGCAAATGTACTCTGGCTCCTAGAGTACACTTTGCATGACATTCATTTCTTTCCAAATTGTAGTATACAAAGTTTTGTGTTCATGGCTCCAACTATTTCTCTATTTTTAGTACAAATTAATTCATGTGGAAAGTAATACTTTGCTTCTTATTTTGCTAAGGCTGAGTGCTGACTGGAGTTCATCAAAAAGAGACACTAAGACAAACAACGAACTGTACAAGATTATCCTGTAGTGAAGACTTGATTTGTTCAATAGTTATTCCATTAATTTCACTTTGCTACCTTCAAGAAAAAAAAATTTTTATAGCGAATAATGGAACCAGATGACCCATGTGATCACTTGAGAAGTTGTTTTCGAAGTACATGCTATTTTTACAGCCTCATTGCTTTTCTATAAGGCAACTTTTTTTTTTTAACCATAAACAAAGGTTATTTGAAAAATCTTCAGTTTCATATGAAATAACTTCCAACTAGGATTTTAAAGATCCCAAGACATGCATCATTAAGACCTTTCAGTTACCTTACAGAACATGTCCCTCAGATCATCTTTTGGGTTAATCCACGATGCAACAGCATCACAAAAAAATATAAAATCCTGCAACAAACAAAAAATACATTTAAACTGACATTTAACAGCAAAGGACATGTCAATCTCAGAAAACATATCATGATACAAGCCTGACACATGTAAAACATTTTAAAATCAACTATGATCATAAGGTATCTTAAAAATTTACTTAATGTTGGTCCCTATTACTCCACCATCAAGAAACTTCTGACTCAGTCTAACACTTCCTTTGGTATTTTATTTTCCATCATAAAAAAAAAGCCTCAGTCTCATAAATGTTTAATAACAGCAATCAACCAAGAGAAATAAATTGATCTGATTTTAAAGTACCTTCATTTAAGGGACAAAGAGATAGTATAGCACGTAGAGCAATTGTCTTAAATGCAGCCAACCAGGGTTGCATCCCATTTGGTGTCCCAAGCACTGCCAAGAGTAATTCCTGAGTGCAGAGCTAGGAGTAAGCCCTGAGCACTGCTGGGTATGGCCCAAAAATAAACTAAAAAAGTACACCCACTTAATCAGATTTAAAAAATTATACAATCTAGAGGCCAGTGCTAAGACAAGAGTTCAGTCCAGTGATTCTTCCATTTGTCATGAGTGGGATCACAAAGTGTGATCTCTGTTCATCATAAGAACAAAAACAAGTGGGAAACCAAATTTAATAAACCATAAAATTCAATCATTTTATAGTTTAATGGATTAGAAATAATTTAGATCTAGTCAAAGATGTAACAAGCTTAGATTCAAGTATATGAGTGAACGAATCTAGGGTTGGGCTGGAACAAATATTTGGCATGCACAAGGCCCCAAACTTGATCCCTGGCACCTTATGGTAACTAGAGCACCACTGATAATAATTTGCCCTGATGGCTTCTGGCAATGCTGGGACCAGAGCTGCACTTCATCACTGGGTCTAGTCACTGGTTTCACCAGCTGAGTGGCCTCCAGAGCAGTGTTTGGGTCTCCTCCAACCCCTCTCCCTAGCCCATATTCAGGTAGAGGATTATGTGAAATGATCAACTTAAAAAAAAAAAAACACCAACTTATAAGCAGTCACTGTCACTGTCCTCCTGTTGTTCATCGATTTGCTCAAGCGGGCCCAGTCATGTCTCCATTGTGACAATTGTTACTGTATTTGGCATATTGAATACAGCACGGGTAGCTTGCCAGGCTTTGCCGTGCGGGGGAGATACTCTCGGTAGCTTCCCGGGCTCTCCGAGAGGGGCGGAGGAATCGAACTTGGGCCAGTCATGTTGGCTGCTTGTAAGGCAAATGCCCTACACGCTGTGCTATTGCTCCAGTCCTTACAAGCAATACACAATACAAACCAAAGAGAACAACTTAAAAAATTGCCATTCTCCAGAACATATGGTCTCTTGAGCACTGCCAGGAGTGATCCCTGAGCACAAACCAGATGTAAACCTTGAGTACTGCCTGGTGCAGTCCACTCAGCCCCAATCCTCCTAAAATTAGAAGTCTTATATAGGGGTAAAAAAAATAAAAGAGAGAGAGAGATAGCTCAGTGGGCTGAGAGCTCCCTCTTTGTATGCAGTAGGCATAGGTTAGATCCCATGGTTTCTGAGCACCAGGTATGCCCCCCCCAACCAAATAAAACAACAATTATAACTCCCACCCCCCAAAAACAACAAACAACATACACCCATCTATAGTTTGTGATCAAGGGGCCGAGCACATGCAGAGGCACAGGTTTGATTCCTGGCACATGGTTCCTTAAGACTGCCAGAAGCAACTATACCAAGCATCACTGGGTGTGGCCCCAAAATCCTACCGACAAAACTGAAACATAAAGCAGACATTCTATTTACTCTTGGAGCCAGAAAGATAGTACAGCAGCAAGCATGCTGCCCTGGCAGGAAGCCAATCCGGGCTCAATTACTAAGTATACGGTACCTTGAGCACCACCAAAAGTATCCCAACCCTCTCCCTAGAAATCACTGGCTCTAATCTGGTAGTCCTTTTTATGGCTACATATGTAACAGTATTTTAACGATAATTCAAAAAAGAAAAAAATTTGACTACACTACTGGTGAGAAAAAGCTCCTCCATAATAGAGCATATAATTAGACAACTCTTAGAACACTTTAAAATGACACAAAACTTTTAGAATTGAAAAAAAAAAGCAAGGTGTTTTTGTTTTATAACTAGGGATAATCTCTTACAATACAGACTTGTTTTCACAGTTAGTCAAATGATAGGCTAGGAATGTGTCTCATTTTGCCTTACATCTAATGAGGCCATGGGTTCCACCCCCAAGATCACAAAAAGGTTACAAACAACAAAAGAGCAAGTTAATATAAATTTTACAAATTTAAAATTACCTGAATTTTTTCAATCAAAACTTGTAAGTTTTCAATATTTATCATATGTATCAATCTGAACTTTATTATTTGGTGATTTATGATGCTTCTAAATTAAAGTTGACATTAAAGCAACATCACTGATGATAGGAAATAGCAGGTTTCAGTTCAAAATATTCAAAGAGAAATTTTTTTGAAAGGGAAAGTTTTATTCTTTAAAACCCTTCCCATGCTTTCTTTTCCTTACAACTTACTTGTTGAAGAACTTGGACCTAGAGTCCCATAGCTTGCATTTTGCTGATTTCGTACACATGGTGTAAATCAACATGTTCCTTTATGCTTTGTGTCCTGTAGTTGGAACCAGTTTTGTTTAGACTCATGCTTGATACATAATTAAAAAAAAAAATCTAAACAGGTAAGGTGTTGCCTTGCATGCAGTCAAAGCCGGTTCAATCCCCTGCAGTGCTTGTGATGCCCCAGTACTGCTGGGAGTGATCCCTAAGCACAGAGCCAGGAGTAGCACCTGAACACTGCCGTGTGACTCCCCTCAAATAAATGTTTAAACATAAAATAAATTAAGACAGGGAACAGAATGAGTAAGTCATACATTCTAGAAATCACAACACTTGTGTTCATTGTTGTGGGTCCATACTCAGTTTTGGGGTGTGGATTCCTAGAGGTGCTCAGGGTCCACATAATACCCAAATGCATTGCCTGTGGTCTCCAACTTGACTATACAACCCCAGGTCAGTTGTAACGGTTTCAGCAACTGGTTTGGTTCTATTTTATTCACTACTTTCTAAGTAACAGAATCCTACTACTTGGTCACTCTCCTAAATACCACTAAGTCGATGTTTGTGAATGAGAGACACGTACAAAGTAAATAAACGAGTTCTTACTGTGGAGAAAAAAACCCTTGACTCCACACAAAATTACAATTTTACTCGTACAATTACTTCTTTTACATGATGAAAAATGTTGAGAAAAGTTATCATTACAATGTATTAGGAAATAATTTGTGGCTGGGGATACAGCACAAAGGACTAGCGCCTTTGCATGCAGCAGCCCCAGATCCGTCCCCAAAACACGGCAGGGAAGGAGCGTCACTCCTATACCAGTGAGTTGGAAACAGCCCCCAAATAAACAAACAAATATGTAAATAAATACAGAATCAGTTAAAAGCCTCAAAAATATGATGTGCATCTTACTTGGATCACTCCACTGGGATTCACACTGATCATGGTACAAATCCCACGAAATGCTGAATCCTTTTCCTCATTGTCCCTTATGTTTCTCAGAGAGGTGCACCTATTGAATTACAGAGATGATTTAGCATTTAAGTAAAAATCAGGTTCAATTACAATAATAATGGACAGTATTTAATGGAATAAGCACCATAATGTAGATAATATTTTTATTAGAAGATTTTTCATAAAGATTAAGTTTCTTATCCTTTCTCCTATATGTTGGGCCCATCTACCTTCAATATAATAGAAACCTTGAAATTTTTATTTTCTCATTAATAGACTGCATCTATGAAATGGACAACTGATATTTATCTCCCTCTTAAATAATCAATAAGTTTACATCAAGAATAAATTATTAATTAAAAAAGAAAATCCCATATTTGACCTGTATTCCATTAAACACTACTAAAAATGACTTGGATTGAAAGATTATCAATCGAAAGAAGCAGACCAGAGAATATACTGCCACCATATAAACTATTATCATACAACTTATGATGTAGGTATTTAATTTTAACATTACCAAGCAAGAATTTTATACATAACAGATTTAAACAAGTATTTCTTAATGCAATCCAATTTTACAAATTAATTCGAAAAAAGAAAATGCAAAAATCTAAATTTGTAGAATTTGCATGCATCTTTATTTTACTGGTGGATATTTAAATGCCTTTTAAAAATATATCTATATATAATCAAGCTTTTTTTTTAAACACAGCAAGCATGTGACAATCTTATCCCATGCATCAATTAGTCGTTAGCCACAACATAAAATAAATATACATGACAATGCTACTAAAAAAACCTCACAAACCTGATAGGACAAGATTAGTCACATGGTTGGCAATGATTAAGGATTGTGATTTTTTGTAACCAACTGAAAATATATCTAAAAGTGAGATAGAAAGAGAAAGAAAGAGTGAAGAAAAATGAATTAAAAAAAAAAGATTGAATAATACACACCAGGGTCTTATAAACTGCTGTAGCATGGGGGCCACCTCTTGAGGACAAACGTAACCAAGACGACCAATTGTTATTGCTAAGGTAACGCAATCACGGTTATACACCACCAAACGCCAACCAAGACATGAGCAAATGAGGGGGAAGGAGAAAAAATAAAGAAAAAACAACAAATAACTCAGAAACAGAAACCAACAGAATTTGTGTATGATAATAAACATAAGATTTCACCAGTGCTGCTTATTACCACCCCCTAAAATAGGGGCAGCAACATATATGGCATACTATTGGAAAAAGGAAAATCAAAGGAATTTAAAAAACCTCAAAGATTGAGAGAACACCAAAAACCATGATGAACTGTTTTTCTCGCTCAAACATTAAGATCTTATTACGTTAAAAAGGTGAGCGAATGAGTAAATAGATTTAGATTCTTCAAAGCAATTATAATTCTAGAATTTAGTAATTACTTTTCCCCAAGAAATATCAGTAAATGTGTATAAGTACATTTCTATTTACTCAAACAAACATACTTCACAAAAGTTGAATTTCTGTCCCAATTCTATACATTTTTTGCAAGTTATTTACATCTTTTGAAAAATTAAAATATAGGACTTCAATACAAGATTTTTTTGGGGGGGAGGGGCGAAAGTGTTTGTGGGTAGCATTTCCGTAACAAATTAGTGGATTACTTGATGCCTAACATCAAAGTCAACTGTCAAATTTTAGGTGTTATGGTACACACTAAATAAGACAATTGCTGTGTTATGTCAAATCCCACTAAGAAAAAAAGACAGTAAAAATAATTAACCAACTAATTTCAAATAATTTCTGGCACAAATAAAATTTTGACAAGTCCACCCCAATGTCATGGGAGATGTGGACCACAGGAACAAAAATACTGGCTGGCTGTAAAAGTTATAGCATAAAGTAGATGAAATATTGTACTGATTATAAACTAGTATTTTAACAACAACAACAAAATTTTTATATGAAAGTTAGTCAAACACATTGTCATATCAAAATTCAAGAAGTCCTTAAACTTAATTATAAGAGCTTAAAACAAGTGCAACTCAGAATTGCATTCTGCAATTCAAAGGTACGTACATAAATACATTTATACACAACGGAAAAAAATACAAACAGAAAACAAACCATGAGGTGCTTTAATGGTGTTCTCTCAAAAACTTACAGGTTAACCTTTCATAAAAAAAGGGTGGGGGGATAAAGAAAAATGTTTCAGGATTACTTGAAGCAAACTACACAGATAATACTAAAATCCAGCAGATTTATATGAAGCAAGAGAAAGAAAACCTATGTTCAAAGACACAAACTATGCAACATTCTCATTAAACAGGCAAGTATGAACAATCCAATGAAACATGCGATAAAGCAGATGATGGTCCATTGAAAAAGTTCAGTGTAGGATATACTAATTGGAAAAAGGCAAAAAACTGATAGACTATATTACTGACTTTAAACAACAGTGACTGGTAATTAAGCTGCTAAAATCCAAAGATATTAGCCATTGACAAATATTTTAATAATCAAAATACAATAATTTTTTTGAAGAAAAAATTAAGTGAAACATTTTCTGCAGTCACTTGTACTATGAGTAATATGGTAGATCCCAAGTGTTTCTCTCAATTATATAAATTCAATCTGTCAATTTATAAGCATATGAGGTAGATTATAAACTACCTTTTTGTTAAGTTCAAAGGATTATAGTCTTATAAAGCCAATTAAAAAAAACTATAGCAAAATTACCAGTTGATATCCCACAAGAAACTTTAATATACATTACACTCAACATTTATTTGCAAATATGCATTCACATTTAAAAAAATAGACATTTTTAAAGTTCAAGAGTAATTTTTATAATGTAAGTGTTCCAAATCTGAATGTCATGTATAGGTACTGCATTCTGGAGAGAATAAAAACCTGGCAATATTCTCATAGGCATCCTATATATGGATTTTTGTATGTTTCAACAAAAAGATCTGATTTAATGATATAAACAGTACCCATACAGCCAAACAGTCAAAACTGTCTCATAAGTGAAAGATTTCCTTCCATACCAATAAACATATCAATTTCAATCACATTAAGATTTAATACGTTTGATAACTGAATAACAGAAAATTAAAATGCCTTTAAAATAAATTTTCTCATTTAGAAAAACTTAATCTCTGACCAGTATTTCTGATAAGACCCTCACTAAGTATGAACATACTCCCAGATCATCTTAACGGGATGTACCTGACTGAAAACAAAATTTAGATCTTTCAGTCATAATATTAGCAAATTCAGACAGGATGGAAAGAAATCATCCAGAAATGTGTTCTATAGTATGGAAGGTACTCTTTAATTAAAAAAAAAAAAACCAAAAAAAAAACCATGCTCTTCATAAATGCAAAAGAGAAACAAGCCCCCTGAATAAGAATTCTATGAGGTATCGCTTAAAATTTCAATTTAAGATATGTATAAGATATGAGAGTTAACCAATTAGTCACTACACTGCACGCTACTTTTGGCTATATTTTTAAAGGCTTTAAAAAAAAATCAATTCCCAGCTCCCATTACTCTCTGAATGCAAAATTTCTACTGTTTGCTGGGATACATTTTAGGGAATATTAATACACTAGAGTAGGGTAGAAAATTTTTTTTTGTTTCTAAATACTGGTTATGAAATTGACACTGAAACAGTATATTACTGAGAATTCAAAAAAGTACCAACTTAATTGGGTTTCTGAAGCTGGCTTTGCTTTGGTTTCTCTATGCATCTTAATTAAAAAAATTAAAAGGCAAATTAATTTCCTCTAAAGCTGCTAAAGCTGTCTTTGCTTTGGTTTCTCTACGCATCTTAATTAAAAATTAAAAGGCAAATTAATTTTCTCTTCACCGTAACAGTTCAGTCTTATGGTACCTGTATTCTCTAACAACGTCTTTGGTGTGTTGGGTCTGTTAATGATTTCTACGAGCTGGTGCAACACCATAGGAATATAAGGCTGCATCTCTATACCTAGATGATTTTCGAGAGAAAACAAAAAAGAAAAATTTAAATGTTAAAATAACGTAAAATAATTTGCTCTCTTTACTAACTGGATTCAAATTAGTACACATCAGACATTAGAGCATACCAGACTGCATTCATATAGCACTTATCAATACATATAAATCTCATTTAAGAAAAGACAATTATAAAAATATTATGGCATATGAAAATTTATTCTTTAAAAAGGGGGAAAAAAATCTTAAATCTTACCCATTTGAATGGAGATTTCGCCAATTGCCCAAGTGGCATTGTTGCAGACTGAAATAAACTCTGGATTTAAGTTGGTTCCCAAAATTGGCATGAAATCAGCTAGAAAAAAAATTGTTTTTAAAACACCATGTAGTAAATTTCTAATAGCAGTAAACTGTACTTAAAGGAAATCTACTAGGTTGAAACGGAAATTTTTCTTTTGGTGCTGGGGAATCAAACCCAGGATTTCATACATGGCAAGGCAAGTGCTTTATCGCTAAATTACAGCCTCAGCTCCAGTATTTTTTTTTTTAAACTTTTCTACTTAATCACTGTGAGACAGACCCTTACAAAGCTATTCATGATTGGATTTCAGTCATACAGTATTCCTACACCCATCCCTCCACCAATGTACATTTCCAAGCACCAGTGTCCCCAGGTTTCCTTTCACCACCCCCACCTGCCTCTGTAGCAGGTGCTTTCCTTATCTCTCTCACTCTCTTCCCTCCCTTCCCCCCCTCCTTTTGGGCAATGTGGTTTGCAATATTGATACGGAAAGATTATCAAAAATATTCCTTAATTACTTTTAAGTATTATTTTTTAAAAAGGTGTGAACAATATCTATCTTGAGACACTGAAGGAGCTACTCTGGCCAATTGAGCTTTCATGTGAAATACTATTAAAGAACAGATGCTTTAATATTTTTAGATATTAAGAATTGGTCAGAGTGATCACTATCAGTAAAGGCAAAGGTAAAGGCCCTCCCGTTGATCGTCGATTTGCTCGAGCGGGCCCAGTAACGTCTCCATTGGAGACTTTGTTGTTACTGTGTCTGGCATATCGAATACTCTCGGTAGCTTGCCGGGCTCTCCGAGAGGGGCGGAGGAATCGAACTCGGGTCGGCCATGTTGGCCGCTTGTAAGGCGAACACCCTACCGCTGTGCTATCGATCACTATCAGTAGACTGAGAAAGTTCAAACTGAAACTGAAAAAAACACAATATAACTTTCTTCAAAGCTAGTTTTTCCAATCTATTTTTTTTGCTTGTAAATTAACTTTATCCTATTGCTCAAGATTGTGGTATGGAAATGACACCACTCAATTAAAAAAGATTTTTAGAAAAATATCTTTTACAGGCTAGGGGCAGGAAACACAAGTTTGGACTACTGCTGTCAGAGCAGAGATGACTCAAGAGTAAACTTGATTGAAAGTACGCTGCCAGCATAGAACAATTTGAGCATAATGAGTTCATACTGACACTCATTATAGGATGTGGGAAGGAGAAAAAAATATTCCACCAAAATTCTAAAACACAATTATTATGCCTGTGGAGGATGTTGGGATCGATCCATTATATTCAAAACTGGTAAATAAAGATAATGAATCAAGTAATCATTCTGCCTCCCCTAAATGAGTTGAACCCCAGAGTAGGAAGTTTTTTATACGGGGAAATGTCTATTTATCATATTAAGAATTAAAATCTTTTTTTTTTTTATTTAGATGGGATGGGGTGATGTTTGAGCCACACCCCAGCAGTAGTTCAAGGGTTATTCCTAGATCTGTGCTTAGTAATGAACTCTGGCAGTGCTGAAGGGACCACATGCGGTGTCAAGAAAAATGGCTTAACCTCTATATTGTTTCTTCAGCTCCTAATAATATTAGCGGGTCGGGTGTTTGCCTTGCATGCGGCCAACCCGGGTTAGATTCCTCCAGGTCTCTCGAAGAGACTAGCAAGCTACAGAGTATCCTGCCCGCATGGCAGAGCCTGGCAAGCTACCGTGACGTATTCAATATACCAAAACAGTAACAAGTCTCGCAACGGAGACGTTACTGGTGCCAGCTCAAGCAAATCGATGAGGGGGGAGGGGGAAGGGAGGGAAACGGATAGTGCTAGAGTGCTATTACTTTTAAAGTCCTAATAAAATGAGTGAATCTAAGTCAGTTTCTCATCCTCAGTAATACTGCCAGCTGGGTTTGGATCATCTGGTTACTGGGGGAAGGGGAGAAAGTCTCACAAGGGTTGAAGAATGTTTTATTAACATCCTTTTATCTTCTTCCCACTAATTAATAGTACCACATGCCCAGTGATAAAGAAGTATCTTCAGATGCCAAATGTTCCTGGGTGAAAGGACGGGGCATGAGAGTGAGGCTGAATGGAGAGTATGAAAACTGACGCTAACTGAAAATCACCAACTAAGAAAATCATAGTTGTTGTTGGGAGGATACTCCCAGGATGGGAGATGCATGCTGAAAGTAGACTACAGACCGAACATGATTGTCACTCAATGCCTCTTTTGCAAACCACAGCACCCAAAAGGACAGAGAGAACAAAAGGCAATGCCCTGCCACAGAGGCAGGGTGGGATGGGAGAGGGAGGGATACTGGGATCTGTGGTGATGGAGATTGGGTACCGGCGGAGGGATGGGTACCCGATCATTGTATAACTGAAACCCAAGCACAAAAATTTCTAAGTCTACAACTGTACCTCATGGTGTTTCACTAATAAAAATTAAAAAAAAAAAAATATAGTTAAGAAAAAGGCAGCTGAGGATGTGTACTTCCTTAAGGCACATAAGATCAATAAAATCTTAAAAGATAACATCGCCCACACAAGCTAAAACTCAAAAACTAAATTCGATAACAAATATTTATAGAGAACCAGTCTTTCATAAAATAAGAATTCACTATCTATTTTCATTTTAATAGTAAATTTGATAGTTGAAAACTGTTATTTTATTGCTTAAGGTTCAGAATATGGTTATTTATAAACATAACTGAGAACTGGGGGAAAGTACTAAAAGTTATAAATTTCCAATTACATGTTTTATAAATTTGCTGTACTCTGTTTATCATAGTTAATAACAATAATCACTGAGAACAAATCTTAATATTACAAGGAAACGAAAAATTTTTAACTATAAATTTGTAATTATAAAGATGCTTGTCTTGCATGCGTCCAATCGGATTTGATCCTTGGCATCCCAAATCGTCCTCTGAGTGAAATATATGTATTTTTACAGATATATATATAAAAGCACAAAAAGCTCAACCTTTAATAACATGTTAGTGATCTCTTATAAAAGGGTTTAATTGGCCCTCAGTGAAATACAACAATCTTCATAATCTTTCCTCTAAGGATACCTTTTTGTACCATTTTCAGCAATAATACAAAATATATAATTTCGGTTCTGCTTGGGGGCAGGTATTGAGATTCGGGATGGAAACATCCGAAATATGGTGATGGGAATGTGTAATGGTGGTGGGATTGGTGTTTGAATATTAAATGTAATCAAATATTGTGAACTACTTTATATATTAAAAAAAAACAAAAACAAAAAACAAAAAACAAAAAAACACCCAAACGGTTCTCTAAGCCTCTTTAGCCCAATTTCTAGGAGTAGTTCCTGAGTAAAGCAAAGCCAGGAGTAACCCCTGAACATTGCTGGGTATGATCCCAAACTAGTAACAATAAAATCGATAGCTATGTTAAACTTATTGCAGAAATCATTTTATTATCTATCAATGCAAATATCGCAATGTTGTAGACTTTAAACTTAAATGATATCATATGTTGATTATATCTAAAAAAAAAAAAAAAGAATTTCAAACCATAAATAAATCACACTTTTACAACTAATTGATTTATGTTTAATTTTTAGGCCACATCTGGTGATTTTTAGGGCGTCCTCTCCTGTTTACTATGCTCAGGGATCACTCTTGGTGGGACTTGGGGGCCTTATGAAGTGCAGGGGAGTGAAACTGGGTTGGTCGTGTGCAAGATAAGTGCCCCATCTTATACTACAAGTGTATTATTTCTCTAGCCCCTCAATTAACTGTTTTAAACCATGGTGTGTACTAAATCTCCAAAAATGAACAAAAAATTTACTATGAAAAAACCTGCAGGCAATACAGTTTCATAGGAATTCAGGTAAATTATTTAAATTAATTTCTTGCTTGCCTTCACAGAAGGTGGTCTCCCCTCAATCTGTATTTTATTTAAAATTAGAACATTCAAACACAGAAACACAAAATTATGATATTCATATGATTTATAAACATAAATTTTTATAAAAACAATCATGTTTTCTGAAACATTTCTGTTAATGGATAAATCTGTTAGGCTGATCATGGATAACTATGTTGTTGTTTTGTACATCAATAAAAAATAAAAACCTCACTCAAAAAATTATCTATGAGCTAGCACATAGCACCAAGTTTTCACAGGTTACGTCCTTAATCTAGAGTAATACCTTGTTTTTCAGTTTTTGGGCCACATCCAAAGGTGCTCAGGGGCTCAGATGGGTGACAGGGATGGAACCTAGCTTGGCAGCATGCAACATAAGAGCTATACCTGCTACTCTATTGCTTTGGCCCATAGAGTAATACTTTTTTCAACTTTACATACCAGTCACTGGAATGTCTAATAACTTGAGTTCAAAGGAACAAAAAGAATAGGGGTTCTCATCATGTGTGCTATAATCAATAGCTTTAATCAGACAAATGTACATTTATTACGGTCACGGTCCTCCCGTTATTCATCGATTTGCTTGAGCGGGCCCAGTAAGGGCTCTATCCTGAGACTTGTTGTTACTGTGTTTGGCATATCGAATGGGGAGCTTGCCAGGTTTTGACGGGTGAGATACTCTCGGTAGCTTGCCAGGCTCTCCGAGAGGGGTGGAGGATTCAAACCCGGCTCAGTCGGGCCAGCTGCGCGCAAAGCAAACAACCTACTGCTGTGCTATCGTTCCAGCCCATGTACATTTATAAATACTAATATTCTATGAAAATTTACTGTAATAAAAAAACAATTGATGGAGAAATATGAGATCCAGATTACAGTGGTAGGAAAATAAGTCATACCTATACAAGGCTTAACGTGCTGAAAACAAGCCTTTGTCAGGTCACCTAATAGGGCAAAGGAACTCTGCCGGACTTCTGGCATTTTATCCTATAAGAGAGAAGAAGCAGTGAATACCACTGTGACACAGAGAATCAGGTCTGAACTTATTTTAACAAGTCTTACCTGCATGCACTGATACATCAGTGTCAGAATGTTACTTCGGGCTACTAGCTGTTCAATATTGCCTCCAAGTCCTTCAGCTAGGCCACTGAGTAAATCAAGAGCCACTATCATAAAATCTTTATCTGGAGCTTCATATTGATCTGGTTGAGCATTGTTCAGCTGAAACAGTTTTTTAAGATGCTTACTTAGAATCAGTTACTAGAAACATAAGCTTATATATTCCATCTAGATTTAGAAAAACATTTATCGAGTTAGGGAGAAAGAAAGAAAAAAATTTTAAATACCATGGCTTGTGCAAGGGTCTTCTGTACTAAATTTACACAACGCTGATACACGGGTTCGCAGTATGGAAGGAAGCCAGACTGCAGGGCTGTGGCAACTGAAGACAGGCACTAGAAAGAATAACATCATGTAAAATCTCTGGATATACTTGACGGTAAATACTTGAGCATGTACACAATACGCTATTAGTTATTGCTCCAAATCTCCTTTTGATGCCACTACTTGCTATTAAGTTTGACGACCAATATGCGAAAGTTTTCTTCAAGAAAATGACAAAAACAAATTTCTATTATAAACATTATTCTTCGAAACAGATTTTGTATCATGTACTCCTCCATTTTTTCCCTCAAAGGTATTTATACTTCCATTCTGGTCGATGATTTCAACATACTCAGCACATTCTGAATCTCTGCCTAAAAGTAAAAATAACTATCCATATATGGTATATTCTTGTTTTGTTGGACCCAGAATTAGCCACTGCTCTCTTGGCCAATCTACGGCAGAAATGGCAACACCTGAAATGAAAAGGGGTGACTCTGAAATGATAACAACTGGTTCTAACCAAGTTGATAAAATGATTTCAAGGACCATACGTAATAGTATAGCTTTAGTTATTTGAATATTATATGTTCCCCCCTTATATACATAAGGAAAAATAGCAGAGAAGAAAAAGCAAAAAAATTCCAGTATATTTCTTTCATATATTTGAAAAAAGACAAAACAGATTAAAAATGATAATGTACTAAAATTATGCTAACACCAATAACTTTTAAAAAAGCATTTAAGCTTATTACTTTTTTCCATTTAGTAATAATATAAACATACCATAATGTAAGTAACAAGAAAGTTATATATTTGTTCAACATTTTAACATAATACTGAATAATTTTTATCAACATTTTATCTCAACCTATACCCACCATTTTAAATTTGGACATGTATTTCTGCTGAAATATGTTGGAATGTTGTCAGCATACCTCAAGTAAAGGGAAGAGATCTTTATCTTCATCTTTTAACATGTTCCATTTCTGGATCAGTGGAGGCATTAGCATCTGAATATATTCCTATTTACAATTATAAACACAAAACTATCATTTGCATACAACTTCATTTTGTTCTATGAAAGTTAAAATCCATTTCGAAGAATTCTGAGATTCGTTCCTTCTCTATTTGGCACCTTAAGTGAATATATATACATATATATATAGCCAGCCGTGGTGCATCAAGACTGCTTGATCAAACACACAAGGCTTAACCTTTAACAACATGTTAGTGAAATACAACAATCCTCACACTCTTTCCTCTAAGGATACTTTTTTCTAGCATTCTCAGCAGATTTTCACAACAAAAAATTATTTCAGTTCTGCTTTGAGGCAGGGATTGGGGTTTGGAATGGAAACATCCGAAATATGGTGGTGGGAAGGTGTGATGGTGGTAAGATTGGTGTTTGAATATTAAATGTAATCAAATATTGTGAACTACTTTATAAAATAAAAATTTAAAAAAGATTGCTTGATCATAATTCAAGGACAAGCCTCACTTTTTAGTGACCATCCTTAAAACAAAGAACCCATAAAACCATACATAACAAAACCATTACATAAACCAAGGCCACATGTCCTTAAAGGTCTGAGCTAGGACAGTCACTATGCTGTAGGGGAAATCTTAAGAAATCAGGGGTTGTGGCTGCACAGCTCAGTAGTAAAGAAAGCATATCCCTGGGTTACATCCTTGGCATTGACCATCATCCCCAAAACAAAACAGCATCAATGAAAACACAAACCATGTGCCCTTCACACTAAGTTTTAAGTGTAACTTACAAACAAAGATAATTTTTCAGGGGATTTCATTTGGCAATCATAAATGTGAATCCTATTCTTCAGCAAGGGATTTTGAATTGTTTTAAAATTATAGCACTCGCTTCTCGGCCTTTTGGCTAAGATCAAATGTAGTATCTGTTCTTATCAGTTTAATATCTGATATGCCCTCTATCTGAGGACAATATATTAAATCAATTTTTGGAGCTAGGAGTTGGAATAGGAGCTTGCTCCGTCCACTCCACACATCGGCGTGGTATTGCTGTACCTCCAGGAATGATGCACCCTCTCTTAAAAAAAAAACAATATATATATATTAGCACTGAAGCCGGAGAAATAGTACAACAGGTAAGGTGCTTGTGTTGCATGTGGTGGACCTAGGTTCGAACCCTAGCACCACCTATAGTCCCCTGAGCCCTACAAGAGACTCCCAAAGCACAGAGTCAGGATTAAGACCTGAATACAGCCAGATGTGACTACAAAATAATAAAAAAAATTACCATTTAAATAAAGCTCATTCTATCCTTTTCTTGGGGGAATGGGGGGTACAGGAGTCACAAGCAGTGCTCACGATGGAACCCAATCTCCTGCATGAAAAGCCTGTGCTCCAGTCATTTGTACAATCTATCCAGTCTTTTTTTTTTTGGCTTTTTGGGTCACACCCAGCGATGCACAGGGGTTACTCCTGGCTCATGCACTCAGGAATTACCCCTGGCAGTGCCTATGGGATGCTGGGAATCAAATCCGGGTTGGCTGCATGCAAGGGAAATGCCGTACCCATTGTGCTATCACTCTAGCCCCTATCCAGTCTTTTCTATCATCTTCTTTAAATCTCAATACTACTAAAAGCCCAGTTTGCTTCACAACTGTATTCTACCATGCCACTATTTTTTTTTTAAATTTTAAAAAGAAAACATTATTTTACAAGGGCATTTCCCAGCATTGTAGTCTGGCCACAGTCCAACACTCATGCCAGTCAGTACTTCGGAGCTGCAGATATGTGAGACATCTTTACTACTTGAGCTATATAACCCTGATCCCTATTTTCCATAGTGAATCAATTATAATTTCCGACTGTTTTATATAGTGTATTCCCCACAGCTATTAAGGTCTAGTGAAAAAACAGAGTTAAGAGCTACAGTTTTCATGAAATTAAACTAAAGCAGATTATCCAGAAAATAAAATTATCAGCAGCTCATTTTTTTATGAATAGGAAACTTTTTTAAATTGAGTGAGATACAGTTACAAAGCTTCCATGATTGAGTTCAGTCATACAATGATCAAACACTCATCCCTCCAGCAGTGTACATTTTCCACCACCATGTTCCCAGTATCCCTTCTGCCCAACCCTCCCCCAGCCTCTATGGCAGATAATTTCCTTCTTACTTTCTCCCTACCTTTGGGCATTATAGTTTGCCATACAGATACTGACAGGTCATCATGTTTGGTCTTTTCCTACTTTCAGAACACATTTCTCATCCTGAACAACCCCTCCAACCATCATTGACTTAGTGGTCCCTTCTCTATCCCAGCTGCCTTCTCCCCCAGCTCACGAGGCAGGCTTTCAATCACGGAACAATCTTCCTGGCCCTTGTCTCTACTGTCCTTCGGTCAGAACCTTTTCTTTAGACTCTCTAAATGTCAGTGCCTTCATACAGAATTCTATAATTTCCACACTGTGTTTGTTGAAACACAAAAGCAAAAAATGTACTACAAAGTCAACACTTCTGTTGCCTTTGTGTGGGAAGGCCTTCCCAAGCAGTGCTCAGAAAGCCAGGGACACTTAACTGGGGATTTGGGGCCAAACAGGTGGTGCTAGGGGGCTTCTAGGGCTGTGTGTGGTGAGGCTTGAGGGACTATGTGATGCCAGGGATCAAATCAGTAACATTTCTATGCAATACATTTTTATGCAAAACTCTGTCCTATTTTTCTGGTCCCTCTTGCTGCCTTTCTAAGAATTGTAACTTGATGATGGTGGGGGTGCAGTGACACTGTATGTAAATACTGTTAATTTTTTGTATACTATTATGAGGTAGCCGCGCTACTTAAATGCTAATGACCTTTCAAAGAATAGCAGTTCTAGATGTAGTAATCACCAAGTGTTCAGAACTCTCCAAATATTTTAATTTCCAAAGATGATAACCTGTTGATTGGTGACTATAATACACATACTTTCCATAACAATTCATTATAGATACTTACTGGCTTGTTTAAATGATGTCCTACTGAATCTGCTAATGTTCCTATGGCATCATAAAGGATGAGCAGGTTCTTATGCTGGTATTTACTAAATGCGAAGACCAAGGTATCAAGTATATAAGCAAGGTAAGGAACAAGTTCTGTACAAGCCTCCTCTTCTAGGGTAGCAAAGGCACTGTAATTTTAAAGGAAAATAATATGGTTGCAGAAAAGAAATAGCTTATAATACAGACAGGAAACAGGTCACAGGTAGATAATACTTCACATTTTACATGCCTATTCCTTTAATTCCACATACCAGAGGCTTATTTTTGTTACTGTCTCCTTTCAAAGGTGTCATCTAAGGGATCTACTTAACAATAATGATAAAATATGAAATTAAAATATTGCAGGTTCTGATGGGCTGGAGCGATAGCACAGCGGGTAGGGAGTTTGCCTTCCAAGCGGCCAAAATGGCTGACCCGCGTTCGATTCCTCTGCCCCTCTCAGAGAGCCCAGCAGGCTACCGAGAGGATCTCACCCGCATGGCAAAGCCTGGCAAGCTCCCTGTGACGTATTCAATATGCCAAACAGTAACAAGTCTCAAAATGGAGAGGTTACTGGGCCTGCTTGAGAAAATTGATGAACGGGAGGACAGTGACAGTGGTAGGTTCTGATATCAACAACTTAATCCGTGTCACGATGTACTGGGAATACAATAGCAATGAGCAATGTTCCCATCCTTAAGAAGCTTCTATTCTAGTGATTGGCTCAGACTAATCAGACCAGATTTAATACTGCTGAACTCCAATACTGCTTAACTCACAAAGTGTATACTGAGAAATCAAAAAATGATCAAATGCTTTTAATGCTTAATATGTGTGACACATAATGTATCACTGCCATATTTTAAATGTTTCTCTTTGTCATTGGGGTAGAATACAATGGGGTGACACAGATGAAAGAACATAAATTTCCAGTTGGACAAGGAATAAATTCTGAAGATATAATGTTGAACATGGTGGCTATAGTCAATGATATGGTATAAACACAGCTGAAAACTGCCAGCAGTATTATAATAATCTTGAGCACTCTCATCATAGAGGCAGTTTTTTTTTTCATCTTGGTTACTTTTCTACAATGTATGTGTATCAAATCATTATGCTGCACTCTTTTGTAGTTGTATTTTTTCTTTTGCCCCTTTGGGGTCATACCTGGAGATGCACAGGGGATACTTCTGGCTCTGCACTCAGGAAGTACTCCTGGCAGTGCTCAGGGGACCATACAGAATGATGGGGATTTAACCCGGGTTGGACATGTGCAAGGAAAACACCCTACCCGCTGTACTATTGCTCCAGCCCAAACAGTAGTTATTTTTATTTTTGTCATTTTCTATTTACTTTTGACATGTAGTTATTTTTGTCAGTGATTCAGTAATAAGGTAGATATTATCTCCTACACCCTACTTTATATATTAAAATGCATTGTGTATATATTACAAATTTTCCTTATACTTAAACTTTATCTAATAACTAAGCAAGATGGGTAAAATCTCCAGCGCTACTTCAATTTAAACCTAATTTATCTTGATTCTTAAGTTTCAATCAGCCTTTTTTTGGCGGGGGGGGTACACCTGACGATGCTCAAGAGATCATATGGAATGTCAGATATCAAATGCAGGTTGGCCACATGTAAGGGAAAGGCCTATCTCCTGCTCCAAACAATTTTTTACTATAACTACAATATGTATTATTTTCTGTTGTATCCAGTTAAAGAATATGTATTATGTGCATATTTCCTTGTTTACAGTAAATTCTACTCACTAGCCTTGTTAACTCTCTCCTTCATAGGACTTAGCATAAAATTTTATTTTTTGTTTGTGGGCCATATCTGGTGGTGCTAGGGCTCAAACCTGGGTCGGCTGCAGGCAAGGCAAGAGCCTTACCTGCTGTATTATCTCTCTGGTTCCATTACCATAAATTTTAGTATTCCCTACTGTAGCCTATACATTACAAGATGGCAGAGACTTACAAAGTCCAGCGTTCATTGTATGTCTATCAATGAGCTGGAAAAAAAAAAAAACCCACAAAACCACCACCACCACCAACAAAACCTTGAAGAATCTACAGGAGACCAAACATTCTATACCCTTCCAGAACTTAAAAAAAAGAAAAAAAATCAACTATTTCTGGTTGCTTTATTGGTTTTATTAATAACTCTCTCTCTCTCTCTCTCTCTCTCTCTCTCTCTCACACACACACACACACACGGATCTACCTGCCTGTAGGGGCTCACTTCTGGTGGGCTCTGAGACCTATACCTCATACTGGGGATCAAACCCAGGTCAGCCACATGCAAGGTGACAGCCATGCCCGCTGAACTATCAGTCCTTCTTCCAGATATTTTTGCTTGAGATCTGTATGAATCCCTTTCTTCTAAAATTTACTTTCAACAGCTATTTCTTCCTATTTACAAAGTGATAAAAAGCAATTCTACTTGCAACATTAAGAATAATAAACAAGCAAGCCGGAGCTCTTTTAGAACATAAGTCTTTTTATGTCATAAAACTGCAATATTTGCAGTAGTGAAATTAAGTGCTGGTACAACATAAACAATCAAAAACAAAACTGACAGCAGTTACTACAGTAGGTTCACAAAATGATAATAGGCACTGTGGCACTTCCTATGGATTTAGAGTATGTGACCTGCAGACTAAGCGAAATGAGCCACAGAGAGAGGGATAGACATAGAATGACTGCATTCATCTGGGGAACATAAAGTAACAAAACAGGAGACTAACACCCAAGAATGGCTGAGATTAGTACCAGGAATTTTCCTCCATGGCTTGGAGGCTAGCCACACATGCTAGGGGAAAAAGGGAGCTCAGATAGAGAAGGGAGCACCAAATAAAGGTGTTGGGAGGATCCTCCCAGGATGGGAGAAGCATGCTGAAAGTAGACTATAGACCAAACATGATTGTCACCCATTGCCTTGTTTGCAAACCACAACACCCAATAAGAGAAAGAGAACAAAAGGGAATGCCCTGCCACAGAGGCAGGGTAGGATGGGGGGGCTGGGGGGTGGGAGGGATACTGGGATCCGTGGTGGTGGAAAATGGGCACCGGTGGAGGGATGGGTATTTGATCATTGTATAATTGAAACCCAAGCACAAAATTTGTAAGTCTACAACTGTACCTCATGGTGTCTCACTAATAATTAAAAAAAACAAACAAAAAAAACACTGCTATTCCTCGGCAATGAGGGCCCTTATCACCACTCCGATGTTTGTGGAATTAAGAGTGAAAGATTCTATCAGTAATATAAACAGAATGAGGAAAAAAGAGCATAAGAAACAGCAAAGACTGACGTCTTAGGTGCTATACTCCCCAAGACATCAGATTATAGATACTGATAACCAAATTCCTACTACTCTATTAACGATTTCATTCCAGTATACACGACCATGGTTGAAAATAAAATTTTCACTAAAATACACACTTCCCTACTTGACAAAAAACATTTTGTTGTCTCACCTGCAGGCAGCTTCTTGTACTCTCTTGTTGCTATCCAGGATACGTTTAAGTAATTCTGTCATTAATGGCTTCAGGTACGTGTCTGGGGGCTGGCTGACGACCCAATGTGCATAGCGGCTAAGAGTCCAGCATGTTATGGAACGCACAAGAGCCTTTTTATCAGAGAGGCACTGAATTAAGTGAGGAATGAGCTCAGGCAAGTATGGAATCATGCCCTGCATGCAACCTAGGGGAATAAAAGAAGAAATATATACCTTTCCTTAAATAATAATATTTGGTTAAAAATTAAAATTTTAGTTAAATACTAAACTAAAACATACAGGAAAAGTATCAGATCATCTCCATAATAATAAATGAAAACCTCAGTATCTTATATGTTTATAGCCTTAAAATAGATTTACATTTCTTGTAGTTATCTATGGAACAAAGTACTTTTCTAGCAATTAAGATGTTTCCTTCTATCAAAGCTCTTTCATTCAGAAGCATGTGAAAAGTAAATGCTGGAGTTATAAGTCTACACCTATGTTAACTGGTTCTAAGCAAAAATTCCATCTTATGATAGTTTTTGATTCAAATAATCATTTTAAGATTAATGACATGCCCACAAGGCCAGTATAAAAGACTGAAAACTACTAACAGACTGTAGTCATGTCTATCTCCACATCAAAATCATAAAGAGAGCAGAGTAACGTTAATATATAGTTACGACTGAAGAAACAAAGTTTTGGCCAGTGATGGGCTGTATCTATGATGGTGCTCCAAACAGGCTATATATAACCCAGGTGTACAATAGGCTACACATCATAGTTGGATTTGTAAAATTATACTCTACAAAATGCACATGAATAAATCACTTGAGAGTACATTTCTCAGAATACCCCTATTAAGCAAGGTATGATTATGTTAATTTAAGATTAAGTGGTTTTGCTTATTGAGAATTCCTATGGCATCCAAGTTGTATCAATAACTATGAAGAACTTCACAATTCATATTTAACATAAGACTTACCTTCAGCAATAGCTCCTAAAACCAAGATGCCTGATTCTTTAACAACCCATTCATGATGAAAAAGCAATTCTTTCAAAAGGGGCAAGATATGTGGTAAAAGTTCATCACGATACACATTTGCGAGAACATCTAGGGCAGCAGCAGAACACTTTCCTAAAGAAATAGTCAATCCAAAGTATTATATTGTCCTTCATCATTATTTTAAGTACTTATTACACTGCCAACACTTTATTTGCATCACAATTTCAAAGAATTCAAAAAAATGGGAGACAGAAACCATTTCATCTAATGACACACTTAAAAATACAATGAAGTTTTTCCACTATAAACGATGTACAACAAGAAGTTTAACAGTAATACTATACAGTGGTAATATCCTAAAAAAGGGGAAAAGCTACACTGACCAGGAATAACACTTCATTCAATAAGACTTCAATAACATTCAATAACACTTCATTCACTACACAGTCATATACCTGAATATTATACTCCTATGAAACCCAGTAAGATCTGATGTATTCGTAAAGAAAACAAGTTATTTGCCATACAGAATAGAAACAGAACTTGGTTTCACAAGTCAGGATATATGAAAAACATAACCTGGTTTCATTTAAACTTGATCTCCTCAAATACAAAAACCTACCAAACAATAAATAAATTAAAAAACTTAATGTGCAAAAGCAGTCTTTTATCTAGCAACAGGGACATAGGCACTCTGACTAGGAGTGCCTAATGAACAGGTGAAACAACAAATTTGGAGTTGTTTAATGAAACCATGACCTGTTACTAGAAAGTCAAACACTCTGAATTAAAAGGGTTCTCAACAAAGGCCGATTTTATTCCCCCATGTACAAATGGCAATGTCTGGAGATCTTGTTTGTTTTGTTACAATTATGTATGAGTACTGACAGAAAGGACCTCTACTGAGGTCAAAGTGCTGTTCAACTTAGCACGATGTACAGGACAGCCCCTACAACAAAAAACTCTGGCCTAAACTGCAATGCTGAAATCAAGCAGCTCTGACTGAACTAGAGTAGCAAAGTTTTACAAATCAGCAAACAAGCAAAAACAAAAGGAAAGGGTCTATGTACGTTCCCACAGTTAATTAATACATGGTCCCGGAATGCCTGTTTAATAGAGGTAGGTTTTCAGTTAAGGTTAAAAATATAAAATATATAACAAAGCATATTTTGCAAATTTGAGTGTCACAAAACAATGTTATACTATTTCAGAGCAAACCAAGATAACCTCTTAACTCTCATGCTATCACAAAATGTTCATTAGGAAGACAGGAAAAGTTTACAGTGAATTATTTCTACTTTAGTTTTTTTTTGAGAAATGGCAGTTAACAGTCTTTAAAAAAAACAGGCCCAGGTCCATCAGGAAAATGCAAAGCAAAACCAAAAAAAGGTACTACTTCAATTTCACTATAAAGGCTGTTAATAAAAGTCTAAGAAGCATACAGAGAAACTGGAACCTAAGACATTGGTGGGAGGTGGGAGAGGAGGAGTGAATGGTGGAGTCATTTGGGAAAACAGGCTGGAAGTTCCTCATAAGATTTAACAGTTACCTTATGACCCAGTAATCCCAAGAGAATCTCACCCCACATACCCACCCATTCATGGTACTATTAGAACTATACTCACAATAGTCAAAGAGGGAAACAACAAAATGTCCATCAAATAAGAATGGATAAGACACGGTCTACACAATGAGATATTCTTAAAGAGCAAAAAGAAACAACACATTGATACAGGCTGTAACATACGTTAATTTTGACAACATGCTGAGTGAAATCATAAAGACCACAGTGTGTATTATTCCAATGACAGGAAATGCAAAGAGGCCCATACTTATAGTGAAAATAGCCAAGTAATTCCTAAGGACGAGGGAATGGGAGAAAAATGAGGTGATTCTCAAAGATACGAGGTATTTTGTTCTTTTTGTGTGTGTGTCACATCAGTCAGTGATGGGGAAAAGATATGCAATGCTGAGTGGGCAGTTTGCAAGGAAAATGCATACTTAACCTTGTACTTATCTCTCAGGTCTTGAGATATATTTTAGGTTGAATAAAAAATACTCCAAAAATTACTCTTATGATGAATCTACAACTCTGCTAATAGATTAGAAACCACTGAACTGTACACTTAGTGCTGTGTATGATTTATCTTAATGAAGCTATTTCAGAAACAGAATTTTCCCTGACTTACTTAAATTCCAGTCAGAAATTGTGTCATCATCATCAATCTCATCATCATCCTCCTCCTCCTCTTCAATTCCATCTTCATCATGTTGCTGAGCCACTGTTCTTGACCGATGAAAACGTGGCCTTATGTCCTGTTCACTATCAGGAATTGTTTCATCTTCTTCAACATCACCCTGATTTGGTGGCATCATTATATGTTAATAAAATGAACATCAATAAAAGAACAGGCGTATCTGGAGATGAGCTGGAGCATTAAGACTTTCAAGCATAGCTCCCAATTAAGTCGTTCCCCAGCGCAAAAAGTAGCCCTTTGTGAAGTGGAGGACAGAAAGCCTGTTAAGCACCAGGTACTTGCACCTGATACTCTGATGACTTGATTGCCCCTCATCAAATGCTATCATCTAGCAGGTTTTCTTTTACTTTCTCTACTAAGAACACTAGGGATATAAAATTGGTACAAACCAATACTAAATTAGACAAGTATTAAAAAACTTATTTTTTGAATACCGCACATTCAGTTATGTGACCTCCATAAGGATTGCGACAATTAAAGTTAGGTTCCAGGGCACCCAAATTAAATTCGGATATTTAAGATAGCAATTTGTATCAATGGGAAATTAATGCTGAACTCCTCTCCTATCATTATCTAGTTCCAATTAGGCTATATATACATAATCACCCAAATTAATGTTTGCCAATCTAAATTCTATGGCATCTATAACAGACCCTATTTACAACTCTTAAAGCCAAGTTCAAAGATTTAAGACCACCCCCCCAATCCCAAAAATCATAAAAACAAAATACCCCCCCCCGTTCATTAAAAAGTTTCCTTACCTTGAGCAGAATAATATCTATATCTGAGTACTTCATGCCATTCACTAGCACAGGTATCAACCTAGGACAAAATGAATTCATAAAACAAAGAGCCATGGATATCAATAAAATAAATACAAAGCCTTCAGGTAGGGCATTTGCCTTGCAAGCAGCCAACATGGCTGACCCGAGTTCGATTCCTCCACCCCGCTCGGAGAGCCCAGCAAGCTACCGAGAGTATTTCGCCCACATGGCAAAGCCTGGCAAGCTTCCCGTGACGTATTCGATATGCCAAACACAGTAACAAGTGTCACAATGGAGACGTTACTGGACCTGCTCGAGCAAATCGATGAACAACAGAAGGACAGTGACAGTGAATTAGAAGCATTAAGCTTATGCATTCCAATAGTAGTAGTGAGACAGTAATTTTGAGAGCATATTCAGTATCTGCTCTACTGCAACTCTATTTAATACACTCATTCATGAAGTTTATATACTGTACTAAATGGTATCTTAGGAGATAACGTAGCTTAGACAAGAACAGCTATTTCTCCCAACACTTTACACCAAATATTCTAAAGAATATTTCCAACTTCTTAAAAGACCGATGTTCCTTAATGAAGTTAACAAATACAAAGAAAACAATCTAAATGCCCGTCACTTAATACTTGGGAAACAGACTACCTCAGGAGGATATATAAGCAAGTGGTCTCTTTGGAGGGCAGGTTGCATACAAGGCAAACGCCCTACCGCCGTGCTATCGCTCCAGCCCAATAATAGACAATAGCACTGTCCTCCCATTGTTCATCGATTTGCTTGAGCAGGCCCAGTAATGTCTCCATTGTGAGACTTTATTGTTACTGTGTTTGCCATATTGAATACATCATGGGTAGCTTGCCAGGCTCTCCGAGAGGGGCGGAAGAAGCAAACTCGGGTCAGCCAGGTCGGCTGCATGCAAGGCAAACGCCCAACCCGCTGTGCTATCACTCCAGCCCAAGACAATAGCCTTTAAAAATATAAAGAATAGTAAATTTAGGGACTAGAAGGAACAGTGGGTAGAGTGCTTGCCTTGCACACAACCGACCCAAGTTTAATCCCTAGCATCCTGTAAGGTTGGCTAGTATTGCCAGGAGTAAGTCCTCCTGAGCACCGCCAGGTGTGGAGCAAAAAACCAAAATCAAAATCAGAAAAAGAAAAAAAAAGGGTAGAAAGGAAAATAGAGATCTATGAGAAAAGTTATTCAACTGAAAGATTGGAAATTTAAACTTTTTTTCCTTTTTCTTGGCTTTTTGGATCACACCTGCTGATGCACAGGGCTTACTCCTGGCTCTGCACTCAGGAATTACTCCTGGCGGTGCTTGCGGGACCATAAGAGATGCTGAGGATCTCACGTGGGTTGGCCAAGTGCAAGGCAAATACCCTACCCATTATACTATCACTCCAGCCCCCAAACTTTAATTTTTTTTTTTAAGAAATCAAACTTGCAGGCCAGAAACATGAGCCAGGTTTCATCCCCAGCACATCATTCCTTGAGCACAGAGCTGAGAAAAGCCCCTGAACACTTCCAGGTTCTAAATATTTTTAAAATTCAGTTTTAAAAACAAAAAGTGTTAAATCACGATACAGTTAATACAAAATATTTCTATAGTTAAAAATATGTCAAGTTTAAAGGTCAAAAACATTTAATTTCATTCATCTTATTAATCATGATTTTTTGTTTTAGGACCATACTGGTGGTTCTCAAGGGTAGCCCCTGAGAGTTTGGGGGATCATGTGGTCCTGAAGACTGAATATGGGGCTTCCATATGCTCTCACTCTTTTGAGTAATCTCTTCAGTTTACAGTGATTGTTCTCAACTTGGGGAGGTTTCTAACCACCTATGATTTATCAATTTTTGTTTTTATAGTGTTGGGGATCGAGCCTACGGCCTCAAACATGCATCAACTGCTCTAGCACCGAGCTAAATTCCAGCCCTTATGATGATTTCTTAATAGTCCATCATATGAATCTAATGATCTTGGAAAACCTAATAAAATAAATAGTCCTTTACTTCCAAATTCTGTTACTTGTTCTGGATGACTTGTAAAAATGTACATAGGCAAAAGAAACTGCAGCGTGTCAGTTAATGAGCTTCCTTCTAATAACAAGAAAAGTATGATTTTTTACCTTATACAGGAATTAACCAAGGCTTAGAGAGGATAGTGTCTCCTCTCCTAAGTTTTTCTGGAGGGTGGGGAAGCATTGCCAGTGGTGCTCAGGAGAACATACAAGGTGCTGGATTTATACCTGGGCCAGTTGCATGCAAGGCAAGAGCCCTACCCACCCACTGCTCCAGCCTCTCCCCTCTCATAAGTTTAAGTGAAAGGATTCAAAGCCAGTTTGGTCTGATTCCAAAGGTAACTTACTTTCTCTACAACAGATATTAACTTCATTCTCTACATTATTATATCCAGTCTTTGTTCAGGCCTTCAATTCAAATGGCTACATGCTTTAAATTATATAAAGCCAACCTTAAGAATTCTATAAAGGATTTAATATTCATTAACTGAATGAATACTACACAGAAAAGGAAGCAGTGGGATTTGAAATTTCCTGGATAGGAGCAGAAAATGTGGAACAGCCAAACATTTCATGTTCAAAGTCCTTCCCAATTCTCCATAATGATATACCATTATAACTAGTATAACCTAACTATGTGAAACTTATAATAGACAAAAACTGTGTTTTGTAGGTTACAGGTATACTGCAGAAACTAGGTGCCAAATTGATTACCAATGGCTATATCTGTGATCTCTGTTAACTATTTCAGGATTATGCTGAAAACTAATGGCAGACTGCATCTTGTAGAGAAAAAACAAAGGAGAGAAAGGGAAGACAGTGGATCTCATGTTTTTCTTTAAAGGCTTTTAAGAGAAAACAAACAAACAAAAAACCTGCAGCAAACTAAAGTCAGAATGAGGTCCCGGGGAAGAGGAAACAAATATGCTAAACCATAGACAGAAAGGTATGTTCGGAAGAGGACTACTCACAAGAAAACTCAGTACATTTTGAGAGCAAGATTAAGAGTCACAGTTTCCCCTAGAAACAGAAGTGCTCAAAACAAGGAAGAGTGCTTGAGAAGGGTAATGTGGCTCCGAGCCACCTCCTACCCCAACAAAAGATGTGCAAGGGAATAAAATCCTGGTAAAGCTGGACAGGTAAGAATATCACACCTAAAAGTAAGAAACAGGAGCTAACTGTGACTACGTGGCAACACCACATGCGTCTGATAAATTTGAACTAAGTAAAATCAGTGTATTTTAATAGGTCTGAGTTAAGAAGCTTTCTCCTGAAGGCTCAGGTAGCCCTAAAACAAGAACAATTTTTAATGCAACAACACAAGAAAGCAGTGATGCTAACAGCAACAATAAACGCTTGCTGAGCTCTTAAATATATGCGGGACACTGGGTTAACTACTTTATGGGATTCATAAAACCATCCAAAGAAGTATTAATGTGTAAGAAAAACGGTGGGAAAGACTGTTTCTCAGGAAAAAAAAAACCATGAAAAAAGGTTCTATCAGATAGCAAAATACATTAAACTTACAATACACAAAACATTAAAGTAATAGTTTATAATGTTCTTTTCATACTTTTTAAAGGTTTTTTTCCCATACTTGTTGAAGATCAGAGGTAAGTTATTCAAGATTACTCCAGCTCGGGGGACCATACTGGATGCCAGGGATATAAACCTGGGATGCAACCTGATAAACTATCATCTGTGTGACCCAATACAGCCCATACAACTTTCACCCTTGAGCAACCTTTATGGGAGGAAAGGGGCTGATGTGGGAGGCACTAGGGAGCTCATAGTTGTCCTTTTGAAGTAGAATTAGGAAAAGATAAGTTTGTAACATTTTAAAAAATGGAGTGATATTGTTCGCCCATTTTTACAAAGCATTATTTTTAATGAAAAACAAAGAAGCCTCACTTACATATTTCCTACACTAATTTTGATTTGGAAGATATAAATCAATCCAATTATGACTGGTTGAGTGCTATTTAACATCCACACAGCAAAACGGGAAATGTTGATCTTTTCAGCTTGCTAACAATTTCCTGCTTGCTTTAAGAATATTTGGGTTGTATTAGTGTAATGAAAAAGCTGTAACTGTGCAATATCATAATATTTATTAAAATTACAGTTTTGGGTCTGAATATTTTAGTTTTTATATGAATTAATATCTGTAACTTCAACATATACTTAAGAAATTTATTGTAAAAGCATCTCAAAATTAAGGAAAAAATTAAGACAAACAATAATATACGGATGGCCTAAAAAAAACAAAGGTATCCACTTGGTAGTGTATCACCTTGCCCATTATTCACAATTTTAGATAGAACTGAATGTACATTCAATGTTCAATGTGGCCCTCCCGTTGATCGTCGATTTGCTCGAGCGGGCCCAGTAACGTCTCCATTGGATAGATAGAACTGAATAAAAGAGTAAAACTCGTTTCTTAGCAGGGGATGGATTATTGGGGAGAAAAAAAATGCTTCACTTATTTTATATCCACATACGGGGCTGGAGAGACAGCACAGCGGATAGGGTGCTTGCCTTGGTCACGGCAGACCCAGGTCTCCCAGGCATCCCCGTATGGTCCCCCGAGCCCTGCCAGGAGTAATTTCCAAGTGCAGAACTAGTAATGAGGCCTGAGCACAGGTCGGTGTGGTCGCAAAGAATAATAACAAAATCCAAAAAATTTCACTTTTCATGAAATAGCCATCAAGCAAACCACCCTTCACATGATTAAAAAATTACATAACTGATTTTCGGGGCTGGGGAGAGAGCACAGTGGGTAGGGCGTTGGCCTTTGCACGCGGCCGACCAGGTTCGATTCCCAGCATCCCATATGGTCCCCTGAGCACCGCCAGGAGTAATTCCTAAGTGCAGAGGCAGGAGTAACCCCTGTGCATCGCTGGGTGTGACCCCCCCCCAAAAATCCCCCCAAAACAAACAAACAAACAAAAAAAATTACGTAAAAAAAAAAAGACAGATTTTTCTGACTTCATTTTTTTCCTTTTTCTTTTTGGGTCACACCCAGCAATGTTCAGGGCTTCCTCCTGGCAGTGCTCGGGGAACCATACGGGATGCCGGGGATCGAACCTGGGTTGGCTATGTGCAAGGCAAAAGCCCTACCCACTGTATTATCGCTCCAGCCCAAATTTTCTGACTTCTATAAGAACCTCACGACTTCTTGATGGCAGAAGCAGCAAACTAGAAATATCGAAAATAGCATTCTTTATATAAACACTTACTTAGGAAGATGCCTTACAAGTACATCTTTGCAGATTGGTTGCTCAGCCAAAGTGAGCCAAAATTCACAGGCTTCCAGAGCCACATTTTCATCTTGATCTTGGGTTCTCTGTAGCATGTACTATGAGCAAAAGAATCACAGTATTATTCAACTTAAATCATACAATTAAAATAAAAACTCAATCCAATCTCAGCAAAGGCCATAATGGCCTTAAACTAATTAGCTCCTCACAGTTTTTGCCTCCCAAACTATTTACTTTAAAAAATGCAGTGGCGGGGATCAAACCCCAGGCCTTATCTGTGAGACACCTTACCACTGAGTCAAACTTCCACTCAGTTTTGGGCTTTTCAAATTTTATTTTTATTTTTTTGTACCACACCTGGCTGTGCTCAGGACTTACTCCTGGCTCTGTACTCAGGGATCACTTCTAGTGGGTGTGGGGGAACCACATGTGATGCTGGGGATTGAACCAGGGTCGGCCACATGTAAGGCGAGCACCTTGCTCATTGTATTATCGCTCCAACCCAGATAGATAAAATTTCAACAGATAGTTTCTAATAAGAGACCGTTAATATTTTCCAAAGAAAATTCAATCTAAAGGGAGACTATGGATCTTATAAAAAGCAACAGAAACAAAAACAAACAAAAAAACCCCCCTTGGGTACAGAAAAAGTTTAAGGGGCAGAGTACATGCCTTGCCCTTTTGAGGCCCCAACAGCAATCTAGTACTGCATGGCCCTCTGAGCACCAGAGCATCAGCAAAGGGAGCAGCAAGCACTACTGGAGATTTTCACCCCTCCCCCCCAAATAAATAAGAGACTACTTGTTACAACAAAATAAGCAACATCAAAGGCACATGTATCATTTCCCATATGTACTTGGGAATAGAATTGTAGTCAACTGATAAAGGTGCAGGAAACCTATCTTGGGCTTCCTGCTTAGTGGGTACAGCCAGAAGAACCCTAGTGTCCCCAAGTATCCCCAAACAGTGTCGTATCTCCAGACCACAGCTCTCTAGCAAATGGGGGCTGGAGAAAGTACAGTGCGCAGTGCACTTAAATACTTTGCATACATCTTGTACATGATAAAAACATCTCACTTGATAATAGGGAAACAAAACATTTATGAAAGCCTATCCCCTATAAACTAGGCCCCCACACTGTGACAGTTAACACCAGTACTAAAACAAATGTCTTAACCTTCTTGTTAATCTCAAATTCTTTTTAACCTTTCAAGCAACTATACCTAATTTTTCTAAAAACTCCAGAGGCTCATCAGATAAAATGCCATTCATCCCCTCTTAGCCTGCTATATAATCTTATAGCTACAAATAATTGCCCTAACGCTTAGGAAACGGGTCTGCTGCATATCAAGGCAGCTATTCCTCTCCCAATCCCATCTGTTAAAAAAAAAGATGTACTTTCCAAACCATTATGTACTGGCAAAAAGGGGGAGGTTATACAGAACACTAATATATTCATAAAGCTATATATACTCTGTCATCAAGAGGGTTTATAAGATAGCACCAAGATTTCCCAGGTTCAACACAGCATAATTTTAATAACTCATTCTCTCTTTCAAAGATGTGGAATCTATTTGTTCAACTTTTTTGAAATTTCAAATTGACAATGTTCTGCTTTTTGCAAACTGTGTCTTGCATGTCACTAGATATGTATCAGTGAGGTCTCTGAAATACTTAAGCCTGAAAAAAAAAACAAAAACAAAAACAAAAGCAAAACCTAGGCCTGTCTTTAATGGAATGTTTAGATATAAGCAAGGAAGTAAAACCTCCCATTTAAACACACACACACACACACACACACACACACACACACACACACACACACACAAAACCTATCTACACTCATAGACATACTCATAAAGTTCACATACAACCATATAAAATAATATGAATATTAGGTAGCATGGTACTCCAATAGTTCGAATCTAGCAAGTATTGAGTTATTTTGTTATAATAATAATCACATCTTGCTACTGTTTTCCTTTCTCTACTTATATTTTCCTAGTAAAATTATTTTTTAATCACATAGGAACTGAAAACTGGTATTTTAAAATTTAAATGGCTTGCTGGAACTACTATGACCAGTTACGTATTTTCTACTTAGAAGCTCATTATCATCACTCATTGTTCAGATCAACCTTACCACTCATGGATAGAAAACAAATGCTTAACTTACATTTAATCTACCAACGTTCCACTGATCATTTAGCCTTATCTACAACTACTTAATACAAGTAATCCTAAGAATTTTCTGGTTGTCATGTTTACAAGCTTTCTTAAATAACCTTTTCTCTAAAAATGTAAAATATCATAGAAAAAATATTTATTTAGGATTTAAATAAATTTAAATAAAACTTCTTTCATCTTTCCCCCTCAACATGCGTGTTAAGTTAGAAATCAGTTTCACATTTTTGAACACTTTGTGCCCGTGATTTCCCCTAGAAAAAAAGGTGAGATAAGTTTAAATTACTTTATTACCTCAACTATATTATGCATGTGAGGAAGCAGGCGATCCATTCGAACTTCAAGCAACATCACAAGTGCTCGGCACACATTTTTGCGTACCTCTGGTTCTTCATCACCAGCCAATGCAAATAGATTCTATGAATAACAAACACATTGTTTTTCTAATATAAGTATTCCAATATGTCTGGAATTAGTAACTGGTACCTGTAAGTTGGTGATATTCAAAGACCCCTCAATATACATACTTCTTACAGCCTCTGACACGAAAAAGGAAAACACAAAATAGTTGAAGTCCGGAGAGGTAGGCAGAGGGTTAGTTTAGGAGGCGGAACGGAGGAGGCACTGACTTAGCACTGCATACAGTCTCCTGAACACTTAGCCAGAAGAACATCTGAGTACAGGCATGCGTGGCTCAAAACTCCCTCTGCCCTCAAAACCATAGAACCAAAAGAAACGGATTATTTAAATTTCACTTGATGAAAGTAAACGTATCAATTATTTCCGTAATTGCTTTTTATCAAGCAGAGCATACAGAGTCCCTTGAAATCCCTGCAAAGACTTGTCATTTTCCCCTCTCAACACCTATGAATCCTGTAACAGAATCATCTTGTTACAGAAAGCTATGAAAATACTGTCCTTTTCGTTTTGTCTTCAGATTATCAATCTTATCAAACCTTGCCCTACGTTTCATAGGCCAAATAGGACAAACGAGCAAGGTTTGGTTTTTCATGTAATCTGAACAACATATTGAAATAGAAATTCTTATGGATGGAAAATTAAAGACACATCAAAATCAATTTTTATATAAACATGGAAATAGATAAAACAGTAATAAAGGATACCATTTAGCTATCAAAAAAAATCAACAATATCTGATTTTAGTACTCTAGGAAACAATTTCAATATTGATAGCTTTTAATTACTGGCTATAAAACCAAGCAATTAACATTTCCTAACCCTTTCAAAACAAAGGGCGTGATGAGAAATCTTACCTCAATGAAAGAATCAATGTGTAACATCAAAGCCTGAGTTCTACTGATGATAAACTGATTGACGCATGCAACAGCATGAGACCTAGAAACAAAATAGAAAATTTAACATCTATAAATTCCAGTTTCCTCTTTAAAGGCTGCCAAGTACACAAATATTATTCCAGAAAAAATTAAACATAAAACACTAAAAAACGAGTTAAATCTGTGCGACCACAGAAAGAACATACTAAGTGAAAATGTGAGCTGTGCTTCTACGAAATTATATGCAAAGATTTTAAATAGTGAATACCTCTGAGGTATAGGAGATTGACTAGAGATATAACAGAAATTTATTTAACATGTCTATTGCTGTTTTCCACAGTACTTATTATATATCCCAGATGTCCTGTCCCGCACATGTGCCACATATGATCATGGTGCTCTGCTGGCAGATCTACTTGACTGTGGTCCCAAGCATTCCAAGTGGTCTTTGGTCACAGAGTCGCAGGTGTGTAAGCACAAGAAAAAGAGGTGTGATGCCAGGCAGGCATGTTATGTGAACACTGCAGCAACTCCTATCAAGAATCTGTACAAGCCCAATTCAGATGTGCTTGCAATCCCCAGTAAACAACATCAATAACTATTTGTACTAAGAAACCAGACTAAGTGACCTAGGAATATAAATATTATCAAGGAAGGCTACTATAGGCAAAAATTGAAACCTGACAATCCCAAAATTTATGTTGAAGTTAAGACACTGCTAATGCTTCCTACAATTGTAGGCTGTAAATACCATTTCCAATGATTTGAAAGGAGCCAGATCTAGGCTATAAAACGTAGAATTCTATGAATGTCTGCACAGAAAACTATCACATTATCAAACAGTCATTAAACAGTAATATTGATAGGATATTCTTGGTACAAAGTCACATATTTAGACAATTTCTAAATTGTATGTCTCTGAAACTGTTACTGGCACTTTTTTCTGAAAAAATATTTATTTTTAATTTGATGTCTTCCTGATAGACCACATTATTTTTAAACTGAAAACAAAAATTCTCCCTTGAGTAGTGGATTCCAACCAGTGATACACAGGTGCAAAAAGACTGAATACCATTCCAGAGGAACCTAAAGCACTTAGCAAGTTCTCAGCAATTCTTGATGAGAACATATCCCTCAACTCTAGTTTGAGTAACCATAGAAAAGCCTGAGTAATTCAAGGAAAATATGTATTTTTTTTCTGCCCTGAACAAATATGACAGAACTTTTCAAATAAGCTGTTTATAATTACTTCAAAAGCTGTCCCAATTTTATGCTGAAAAATTATTTTATTCCACTCTTGGACAGTACTTTTACCTTATTATAAACAAAACTCCAAGATTTCAGATAAGTCAACAATGCAAATTAGAAGGTCGAAAAATGCAGCCTGAGAGATAGTACGGAGACTGCCTTGCATGCAGCCAATTCCACACTGATCCCCAGCATCACAAAATTCCCTAAACATTGCTGGGCATCACTGATATAGCCCTGGAGGATCCCAAGCACCACTGAACACTGCAGCCTTGGGACTTGAACTGCTCGCCTGGTTAACTAAAAATCATCAGGAGTGGCCTCTGGCCCCCCTAAGCATAATGTGGGAGGTCTCTTGCCCAAAATGCTGAAAATTTATGCTATTTTGGCTGGGGGTGTGGGGGGGGGTGTTGCAGGGAGCCACACCTGGCAGTGCTCAGGGGTTACTCCTGACTCTGCAATCAGAAATCACCCTGGCAGGCTTATGGAAACTGGGTCAGTCACATGCAAGGTGCCTTAACCACTGTGCTATCTCTCTAGCCCCAAGAGCTTTATTTTATAAAAATTAGAATACACTGTGTCTCAAATGCTCAAATTGTTGCCCTAAACCATATTAGGATTTAATTCAAGGGGTAGTAATAAATTGACGAAATAAAAACAAATGACCCATAAGTAAAGCCACATATGGAACTTTACACTTTGACAGGAGAAATGAAATCCATGGAAGAAAGGGTTGTTTTAATAAAGATGAAAAGAAAAACATTATTTCCAATATAGCAAAAATACTCTTTCATGCCACACACCATCTAATGTTAAATTAAGAAAACAAACCCCTAACATTTACCCCAACAGTAAAGACAAAAGCAGGAAAGACCATACATTACTGATAAAGGATGAGAATCTTTTATATATAGTGAATGTGCAGTTCACTATAAATTCAACAGAAAAGATAAGAAAAAGGTGCCACATAGTCAATGAACATGCCAAATGCATTCAACATTATTAATGACATTAAGATCGTGATAAAACATTATATATAAAAGTGGCATAAATAAGAATGTATCCATCCAAAAAGTTAATGGCGAAGAATCTTTTGCTTGCTAATTAAGAACATACATTTAATTATAAATTTTGAAAAATAGTTTAGAGCTACTTCCTTGTGTTAATCATCCTATCATCCCAAGATAATCCCTTACAAATAGAAGAGAGAAAGCTGGAACAATAGTACAGGGGGTAGGGTGTTTGTCTTGCACTCAGCTGACCTGGGTTCGATTCCCAGCATCCCATATAATCCCGAGCACCACCAGGAGTAATTCCTGAGTGCAGAGTTAAGAGTAACCCCTGAGGGAAGGAAGCTGAAAAAGAGAAGGGATAACTAAGAAAATGATGGTTGGAGGAATCAGTTGGGATGGGAGATGTGTGCTGAAATTAGATAAAGGAGCAAGCATGATAACCTCTCAGTATCTGCATTGCAAACCATAATGCCCAAAAGTACAGAGAGAGTATGGGGAATATTGTCTGCCAAGCAGGCAGGGGAAGGGTGGGAAAGTGGGGGTATACTGGAGATATTGGTGGTAGGGAATGTGCACTGGTGGAGGGACAGGTGTTTAATCATTGTCTGATTGTAACTCAAACATGAAAGCTTGTAATTGTACCATGGTGATTCAAAGGAAAAAAAAAAAGAGTAACCCCTGAACTACCAGATGTGGCCCCAAAACAAAAGAAAACATGATACTAATTAAACTAATAGGTAGCACTGTAGCACTGTCCTCCTGTTGTTCACAGATTTGCTAGAGCGGGTACCAGTAAAGGCTCCACTGTGAGACTTCTTTTTACGGCATTTGGTATATTGAATACGTTACGGGTAGCTTGCCAGGCTTTGCTGAGGGGGCGGAATACTCTCGGTAGCTTGCCGGGCTCTCCAAGAGGGGCAGAGGAATCGAACCCGGGTTGGCCACATGCAAGGCAAATGCCCTACCTGCTGTGCTCTTGCTCCAGCCCAAACTAATAGGTATTAAATTATAATGTAGAAGGCCATTTGAAGATGGAATAAATTTAACAGTACAAAACTCTTAAGAGAAATGTAGTAATGAACATTTCCTAGATGAAAACATTTCTGAACTATAGTTACGCTTTAAGCGAATGATTATCTACAAAAAAGGGTAAAGGCCCTCTCGTTGATCGTCGATTTGCTCGAGCGGGCCCAGTAACGTCTCCATTGGAGACTTTGTTGTTACTGTGTCTGGCATATCGAATACTCTCGGTAGCTTGCCGGGCTCTCCGAGAGGGGCGGAGGAATCGAACTCGGGTCGGCCATGTTGGCCGCTTGTAAGGTGAACGCCCTACCCGCTGTGCTATCGCTCCAGCCCATTATCTACAAAAATGGATCAAAATAATAATAAACTTCTTGATATTTTATTAGTGTACCAATCCCACAAGTCTTAAAATGCTGAGACTTGGTTATGAAAATGAATTTACTCTAAAAGCATGAAAATCCCATTTTCTTTTATCAATTTAGCTGTAATGTTCAAAGGGGTAGATTTCCTGGGTGATATCAACTCTTCTAAATAATTAAGACTATCCTAGTCTTATAAAAATATCCCAGACTATTTATTTAGAAAATGTATTATTTATGTAGCTAGTACTACCAGACCAAAGGATCTATATGGCTTCTACTCTGAGTACAATAGTGTTTTAAGTACCACTTAAGATGAAAACTAACTAAAAGAGGTATAAGACTCAATAAAAAATTTAAGATTCCAGAATACCTTTGTCAAATTGTAGAAAATGATCTTTGGAACACAGCTTACAGCTTACAATCTTGTTTTTTTTTTTTTAAGGATATTTTATTTAAACACTGTTGTTTACGAAGTTTTTCACAAAGACTCCTGAACTAATAGCTAAGCTCATACATGAAGTTTGTACACTTGGGTATCTCTGAATAACTACTTCTAGCACAGTGTCACTTTCATTTTAAATAGTGTAACATATTTAAATGTTCTGTATTAAAGCCATGAAGTACTGACAACTGAAAAGGAGCTGACAATCAGAAAAGCATAACAAAAAAGGTAAGGTTTTCCTAAAATATATAATTGGGAGAGGGCAGCAGGTATGTAGGTGTGTGTATACTTGTGTGTAGATTAGTATCACATGCTTTACCAATGTAATAAAGACATTATATAGCTGATAATTATTATGATCAACTTAAAGGCTAATTAAATTTTCTACTTTACAAAATAAGTATATTATGTATAAATTAAAATTACACACAATAGCACACATCTATATCCGTATGTAATTATATTTAAATAGCTATAGGAAGGTAAGCAATCTGCTTTAGGAATTACCAGTGCAGAGAACAAAGCAGACCAGCTTAACGTCAATGCTTAAGTGACTTAAATGATTACATTAAATAATTTCAGAGTATGCATCTTTCTCCCTTCATGCTTAAATTACTACTTTCCTAATTAGAGGTACTAGAAGTATTTAATATTTAGATATCATACTGAAGGAATTTCATACACCGTCACAAAATAAAGTTTCTATATTTGGTAAGATTACAAAATTAAACATTCACCTACAAATTTTAGCCTTGCAGAGAACCTTAAGAAACTTCACTTTTAATAATAATTAAAATCTAATGTTGTGAATTACTTTATAAAAAAAAATAAAAGTTTATCTGACCTTTATGGACTGTCCAATCTTTTATCAGTCACAAAAACATTAGGCAATGCACAAGAGGGAGTGGCCAAACTTCCACCAGAGTCTATGAATTAGTAAGGACTACAAACATACCTTATTTTTGGACTACTGTGCTTGAAGAACTGTAAAAATTTGGGAATCATGATGTTGAGTGGACGATCTAGAACATCACTATCTAAAATCTCAGCAGAATCTTCACATATTTTCTGGAGGGCACCAAATGCTCCCTATAAACAATTTAAATTATTAAATCACTAAAAGTAAAACCAATTAAAAAAAAATTGAGAAACACTGATATGACTGAAATAGGATTAGATCTACCTTAAATCTGTTAGACAGTAAGATATAAAACCATTCAGAGTGTGGAAAAAGTATGCACTCTATGAATTTGGTTACTATGTCTCTTTTCAAAAAAATACATTAAATAAATTTAATAATAACATAATACACCCAAGAATAGTTTTACAATACAAGAACAGAACAAATGACATTTCCTTTTAAGAAAGTTAATAGCTTTTGTATCTAGCAGTCCTAGAGCTAGAGAGTTAGGGCGCTGTCTTGCATGCTTCTAACCTGGGTTTAATCCTCAACACCAAATGGGCCCCTAATCCCTACCAGGAGTACAGAGCCAGGAGTAAGCCCTGAGCACCAGCAGATGTGACCCAAATATCAGAATGAAAAACCAAAACAAAAATAAAACACCCCCCAACAAAAATCAGTCTACAGAAAATAGCATAATAAAAATGTTTACAAATAGGTAACGAAACGGTAACTTCGGGATTTCTAAGTTTCGAAATTACGTATTTCAAAAGAACCATTTCCCCCTAAAGTCTAATATATAACAAGTGAAATTGCTGAAACAAATATCCTTACCTCACAAGTATTGTAATCTTCAGAATCCAACAGGCTACAGAGTTTTGGTAGGAGATCAGGCCAATTCTGCAATTCCCCCTTTGAGGCTATTGTTGTAATCAAAATACCTTGAAAGAAAACACACACCTTTAAGAAGCCAGCCCACATCAATCTGCAACAAAACACAAATCTACTCATGGGTAGACAGACATGTGCACATAATACTTTTAAATGTCCCATATTAGCCTAAGACCTCCAAAATGTGATCAAGTACGCCACGAACCAGGTCTATTTTAAATCAGCTTCATTGTATATGATCCCCCCAATCCCCATTTTTTCACTGTTATATTTCTCTGGTTTGGGGGCCACACCTGATAGTAATCAGGGCCCACTCCTGATCACTACTCCATCTGTTGGTGCACATGAAACCATATGTGGGCTGCAGAGGACTGAATCCAGTTTGGCTAAGTGACAAGGCAGGAGACCTCCTGCTGTACTACCTCTCTGGCCCTCCTTTCTGATTTTTAATAAGCGTCTGTATGGAAGACAAGACCTTATTTTTCTCCAACTGTACCAAAACTAGTTCTACACTAATTTAATTCACTTAGAGAAATAACAAAAAAGTATAAAGAAAATATACCAAAATGTTAGAAGCACTATTCACTGAATGATGGGTATACATTTCTACGAATCAAATTAAAAAAGGCTAAGAATATTTATCTCCCCAGCCCAACCAAGGGTCTTTTTAGTTACAAAATTAAAAGTATAAACTTGTGACTAGAGAGACAAATGCAATGGGTTCCATTCACATGGTCCACTGGTCTCCTATAACTGCCAGAGACAATCCCCAGCCCACAGCCAGATGTAGCTAATAGCCCAGAGTATCCAACAGGTGTGGCTCAATAACCGAAAAAGTTACAATAGTAACAACATAAACTGACCACAGACAAATTACAAGAACAGGAAGTTTTAAAGTATTAATCTGTAAAAGTGAAAAAGAGAAAGTGGTTCCTTCATGGACAGTTTGAAAATTCAGTGAGCTAGGCAGACAAAATGTCTGGCATATACTAAACACTCAATGATTAACACTAAATAGCAAACATCTGTTGATATGTCTGGATTTTCCTTAAAAACCTTCAACTTCAGGGGGCTGAAAAGATAGTAAGCAGGTAAGGCGCTTTCCTTACATGCAGCCAACTAGGGTTTGATTCTTGGCAACCCATAAGGTTCCCTGAGCCTGCCAGGAGTGATCTGCCAGCACAGGTGGGTGTAGCCGAAGTCCGCCCTGCCCCCCCCCGCCCCAATTTTTTTCACCTTTACTTTTGAGACTAAAGGCTGGAGCGATAGCACAGCAGTAAGGCGTTTGCCTTACATGCAGCTGGCCTGGCCGACCTGGGTTCGATTCCTCCGCCCCTCTCAGAGAGCCTGGCAAGCTGCCGAGTATCTCGCCTGCATGGCAAAGTCTGGCAAGCTCCCTGTGAAGTACTTGATATGCCAAATTCAAAGTAACAAGTCTCACAATAGAGACATTACTGGGCCCGCTGGAACAAATCGATGAACAACAGGAGGACAGTGCTACAGTGCTACAGTAAGATTTTTAAAAATGCAGAAAAATCAAACATGTTCCTTTTTGGTCAAATCTTATTCTTCACCCTGCCTGGAATTCCAGACTACTGGGCTATCAAGATTGCCTTAAGTGCATGTAGTGGACATATAATGCTACAAACATTCAAGTTTTTAGTGGGCACAACGAAAGAGTGAAAACAGATAGTTGGTCAACTATTTAAATTTTATATGCTTAAATAAAATTCACCGAGTAATGCTACTTTTTATTAGTACTACAGAAACTTTCTACATATAATCATACATAAAAGGACAATAACAAAATTATAAAATACAAGTCAACCACTTAAACACGAGAAAACATTCATCTAATGTATCAGTACAGCTATTAAAACTTCCAAGAAGATTTCCTGGGCAAGATTCCCAATAGTTACTGCTTAAGTTAAACACCACCACCTGACTTCTCAGACATAAACACACTAGCATACATTCACCATGTTTTTGATCAAGTCCAAGAGCTGATAAAGCATTAAAAAAAGGTACATGAGGACCCATCACATTATGGAATCCTTTTCCTCAAATTTCAAACGCCCTTTACTAGTCTCATTTAAATCAGTGTTGGCAAAGAGTTTAAAATGTCAATACGTGGAAGAGTTTTTATGCCTTATAATTAACTTGGTTACATTTATCTTAGTATTTTCCAAACCTACCACAAGACAATACAAAAATTAAAAGAATGAAGGATGGAGCAATAGCACAGCAGGTAGGGTGTTTGTCTTGCACGTGGCCGACCTGGGTTTGATTCCCAGCATCCCATATGGTCCCCTGAGCACCACTAGGAGTAATTCCTGAGTGCATGAGCCAGGAGAAACCCCAGTGCATCGCTGGGTGTGATCCCCCCTCCCCAAGAAGAGAAAGTTAAAAGAACTTTTAATGAAAATGCTTGACAACTTCTGGCTTCTATTTTGTTAGCTTGCCATATTAAAAGCACGTTTCCAGGTTCTGTAGAAGTTGTTGCTTAAGTCCTACAGCATACCAGCATACTGAACACTGTATTTGTAGATTACTCTAGACCCAAGCTGTGAGTTGTGATTCCTGTACAGGGTGTGATAATGGAATGTGACTGTAGCTACCAACCCCCCCCCCCAAAAAAACCAACCAACCAACCAACCAACCAAAAAACCTCCCACAAACAAACAGTAAAAAGGTGTCTAAAAACAATCAAAATTTAATTCAAAATTAACTGCAGAATAAATTGAACCCAAGCTAGCAGCACTAGCTGGTGTTGCATTTCTGAGGCATAAGATTTCACAACAGGATAAAGTTTAAGAAGCCCCACTCTTACATAGAGGATGGCACCTATTTCTCCTTCTACTGGCTCATATTATTTGTAAGTGTGCTTACAGATACAGGGTTTATGCCCAAACCTATCTGAATTCATTATTATATAAACTGCTAAAATCTTATTTTCATTGAAATCAAGTGGATTACTGAAAAGACTCAAAAATTGCTAGTTACTGGTTTTTGGAAAATATGGGCATTCCTCAAACAAAACCAAACCAAACCCTAAAAAATGAGCTACCATATGGCCCTGGTTAGCCTAAAACCACACTGATGAAAAGCCATCTGCACTACTATGTTCATTGTAGAACTATTCACAATAGCCAGAATTGGACACAAACCAAGTGACCGAAAACAAACAACTGGATAAAGAAACTCTGGTACACAATAGAATACTATGCAGCCACCAGGAAAAAATGAAGTCATGATATCTGCTTATAAATGTATGGACATGAAAAGTATCATGCTGCGTGAAAAAGACTCAGAAAGAGAGACAGATATTGAATGACTGCACTCATTTATGGAATAAAAACATTAGTTGAAACTATTACCCAACAACAGTAGAAACAAGGACCCAGAGAACTGATCCATGGTTGGAAGCTTGAAACAAGTGGGGGGAGAGGGCACTGAGGATAGAGAAGGGATCATCATGACTACGATAGTTGGAAATGATCACTGGACAAGAACTGATTGCTGAAAGGTGGTGAAGGGACAAACAGGATAATCTTTCAGTACCTGTATTGCAAACCATAATTACCAAAAGTAAAGAAAGTGTGAGTGAATGAAAAATGCCTGCTGTAGAGTGAGGTGGGGGGTGGGGGTGGGGGTCCGGGAAACTGGGGACACTGGTGGTGGGAAACGTATACTAGTGAAAAAATGGATGTGAGAAGATTTTGTAACACTGTATATCTCACAGTGATTCAATTAAAAAAAATAAAATAAAAAAGACTGGCATGAATTCAAAGAAACTAGGTACAAAGTTCATAATTGAGAGTAACTAGGTAACGAGCTGGAGTGATAGCACAGTGGGTAGGGTGTTTTCCTTGCATGCAGCCAACCTGGGTTCGATTCCTCCATCCCTCTCAAAGAGCCCAGCAAGCTACCAAGAGTATCCCACCCAAACGGCAGAGCCTGGCAAGCTCCTGGTGGCGTATTCGATATGCCAAAAACAGTGATAACAAGTCTCACAATGGAGATGTTACTGGTGCCCACTCGAGCAAATCAATGAACAACAGGACAGTGCTACAGCGCTACAATTAGGTAACAGTAAATTTTTTTGTGTCTGTGTGCCAACCCCTGGTGCTCAGAGCTTTCTACTGGCTCTGCGCTTAGTGATCACTCCTAGGGGCTCAGATGATCCCATGTGCTGGGAATTAAACAGGGGTAGGCCACCACTGTACTTACTATCTTTCCGGTTCCTGGGTAATACAAAAACATGTTTTAAAAAACAGGAGGAGGGCTGGAGTGATAGCACAACGGGTAGGGCGTTTGCCTTGCACGCGGCCCGACCCGGGTTCGATTCCCAGTATCCCATATGGTCCCCTGAGCACCGCCAGGAGTAATTGTTTTACGAAGTTTTTCTTTCCAGATTGAAAAAGAATAAAACCTGAGCACAGAGGTAGGGCATTCGCCTTACAAGCGGCCAACATGGCCGACCCGAGTTCGATTCCTCCGCCCCTCTCGGAGAGCCCGGCAAGCTACCGAGAGTATTCGATATGCCAGACACAGTAACAACAAAGTCTCCAATGGAGACGTTACTGGGCCCGCTCGAGCAAATCGACGATCAACGGGAGGGCCTTTACCTTTACCTTATACTCCATTATGACACATATAATATGTAATTTTCTTTAAGAAGCCGAAAGTAAAAGCACTAATAATGCTTACTTATGCAATATTATTTATGCACTATTTAACATACTTTGACTAAACAACTACCAATGACCAAATTTCCTGACCTAGAAAGAATAGCTTAAGAGAGCTATCACTGTTACAATTAACACTATTTCTAAAGCACTGACACACCAACCAAAAATTTCCCCTCATCACAATTCTTTCAGAAATGGCCTATCAAATCTATTGCCCCATCACAACCAGGGTAAGCAAAACTGTTTAAACATAACTTACCTACTGTGGCTCTAATCAGAGGAGAGGAATCCCCAATATTATTTAAACATTCGCTCTTAATAAAGTCTGTTACACCATTTGGAAAGTTCTGAAAATGTGCTTTCACATTATTCTTCAAAATGAGACCACTCAATGATCTTGTGGGTTCATCTGCAATAAAGAGTTACAATAATAATGTAAGTAATTTTTTAGAAATTTGAAAGTAATTTTTATTTCAACACGTACTAAGCTGATTTTAACATTCCAATAATTTTGCTATAATGAGGAAAAAAAATATGATGATTATCAAAAGATCAGCTTTGTCATTTTATAGCTCAGGCATTACTGACATTTTGGTCCATATAGTTCCTTGCTGGAGAGTGTTATCCTGTACAATGGGATATTTTGCTGTACTACTGGCCATCGATGCCAGTATTATTTCTCAAGGTGTGTTCAACAAAAATACTTCCAAATAATGTAAATGCCTCCTGGAGGGCAAAATTGCACCTGGTTGAGAACCACAGATCCAGTTTAATTTGGTATACATATGGTTAATGTACTCAAGCTTTATTTAAACCCGATAAAAATATCAAATTATTGGCAGTGTGCTCCAAAGTGGTATTGACATCTTCAGGGCTGAAGCACATGGAGAAGCAAAAATAAAAAATTTCTTTTATACAAAACCTCCACTTGAACCAGGGCAATAAAACAATCTGAGAGCATTCATATTACATTTAAAAATTCCCTTCCAGTTCCTCTTACAGTCCTTTTCAACATGTAACTCTATGCAACAAAAACACTCTAAATCCTCTCCCAAGTGTAAAACTGCTATAAAATACAATTTTCAGATTTTTAACTTCCTTTAAACAATACGCATTTTTATCTTAAGTTAGCTCTTAAAATTCACAGCTATGTAATTTAAAATTTCATGTGTATTTGCTTATACAAAATATACTATAGTTTCTTTTTTTTTTCTCTTTCGGGGTCACACTTGTCGATGCTCAGGGGACCATATGGGATGCTGGGAATCAAACCTCGATCAACCACATGCAAGGCAAACGCCCTACCTGCTGTGCTATTGCTCCAGCCCCATACTATAGTTTCTTACAACAAGAGAAGTTGGAGAGGGGGTTCAATGGAGGAGCACATACCTTCCATATACGAGGCCCTGGGTTTGATCCCAGGAAACTAAAAACAAACAAACAAAACCAACCAAAAACAGGTTGCAAGATGAAAAATTTTAAAATACAAGTTAAAATGAATCCAAATGTTAGACTATTTAAAAGTAGAAACATGGGGCTGAAGCAGTGCGTAGGGAGTTTGCCTTGCATGTGGCCGGGTTCAATTCCCAGTATCCCATATGGTTCCCTGAGCACGCCAGGGGCAATTCCTGAGTGCAGAGTCAGCAGTAGCCCCTCTGCATTGCCAGGTGTGACCCAAAAAGAAAAAAAAAAAAAAGTAGATATCTCACTTGCCCAAACTCCATTAAAAAAAAAAAAAAGACTAAATTAACCATATCGTCTTGTAATGAAAATCCTAAATTTGCTTCTCTAAAATGTGAGGAAATTGGACAAGGTTACTTATTTCTTTCAGATATAAAAATTTCTCTTATAATTCAGTGTAAACAAACGGTCAAGAACAATGGAGAGATACTAAATAAGTTCCTTCTTTTTTTTCTTTGGTTTTTGAGCCACAACTCAGGGGTCCATTTTTGGTGCCAGGGACTGAACCTGGGTCAGCCCGGTGCAAGGCAAGTGCCCTACCCACTCTGTTTTTGCTCTGGTCCACATAAGTACTTTCACTTTAGGATTTTACTTCTGATTCTTCCCTAAAATGGATGACTGTGTGCAAATTAAAAAAAGAAACAATGTATATATAACAAGACTTCATATCAGATTAAGAAAATAGACACAAGAAAAGATAGTGATAGATATATAGTTTCCACTTCTTCAAGCCAAAAATCAAAACAGAACAAAACCCAAAACTGAATGAATCTTATCAACATTCTGCAATGAGTCGACTCTTTGGGGGATTAATTATACACAATCTTTCTTGCTATTTGAATTTTAACTTTGCTTTTAAAAAATACTTCTGGGGCCTGAAGAGACAGTACAGTGCACAGGCACTTACTTGCCTTGAACACGGCTGACCCAGGTTCCATTCCTGGAACCCTATATGGTCCCCTGAGCACTACAGGAATGATCCCTTAGTGTAGAGCCCCAAGCATCATAGGTAAAATAAAAATTAACAAAATTTAAAAAAATGAAAATTTCCGAAGTGTTCTATCTCAAGAATGTCAATATTGTAACAAAAGTAATATTGTAAATTTAGGATGAGACAAGAGATTAAATAGCTTGGTAAAAAGAAATTTAAGAATTTCAAGCAATTACAAATTTAGAAAACTATTAGCTGAAAATTTTAGTTCTGTCAAAAGTAAACAGTACTGATTTGATTACAAACTACTCTGTGGGGGAAAATGTACTAATGTGTAAGTTTTTTTTTTAAAAAAAAATTAAAGTAGGAATATTAACTGAATTTAAATATAAGGGTATTTCTAAGAATTTAAGACTTAGAAAGCATGACATTTTCACACCCCTCAATCACACGTAAAATCCAGAAATGACCTACAAAATTACCTAAAAGTAATTAAAATCACTATACTGTGTAAGGATTATCAAAATCTCAATAAAAGATTAGAGCGATTTTACTACAGTGAGATTATTAACCCATTAAGGCTTGAAGCCTAAACCTTACAAGTCTCAGAGTCTATACAGCATTTATTGTATAGCTGAAAGAACAGAGGTGAAACAAGTATGCTGGAGTGTAAAGCATTTGCCAACTATAAGCATATTTTTACCAATTAACTTATACCATGGCTTCTGAACCAGGAAGTGCTCTGATTCAGAGGCCAATACATTTATTGAGTCAGTTGTTCAATAAATATGAGTGTCTTCTATGTGACAATGTTCCAGGACAGACTGCTCAATATTCAAATAACTCTATGAAGAACACCTCTCATACAATCTAAGCTAAATGAAGAGAGATTCTTGCTTGTTTTCATTACTTTTTATTGCCCCAGTTCATGGACTGCCTGCGAAAAGTGGTGCTCAACAAATATACGTGAGAGGAATGAAGCTTTAGTGAGACATGATATGTACATTAGAAATAATCAAAGGACCAAGTTTTCAAGCTTTAAAATAGTTATACTAGCTATTAAACTTAAAATTCACTATAGAACAGTTAGTAAGTTTGTTAAGCATATGTACTATTAGTTTTTCTGTTCTTAGGGGGGAGGGGGAGGGCTGGGGGAACACAAGGGGTTCCAGGGATTGAACCTGGGTAGGATGCATGCAAGGCAAGTGCCCTACCCATTGTACTATGGCTCCGGCCACATGTTAGTTTTAAAAAGTGACAAAAGTCCATGAATAGAAATATCCCAGTTTTCCACTAATTTTCTAAATAGTCATACTGAATGCTTATTAAGCATCTACATACTTGAGATTGAAGTCTCTGCTTATTCCACATTTGTAAAGCAAGTGGTCAGTACAAAATGAAACCCTTTGAAGATATAATTCTCACTGTATCTTAATAGGCATTAAAGGTGAAACACTAAAATGTTGGTTTTCTCCCCCAAAACAAAGTGCCAAAACTTACCTTCAGATTTTAATTTTGTAAGTACAAAAATCAGGTAGTTGTTAAAATCTGGATATTGATTGAGTTGTTCCAGTTTCTAGAACAAACAGTAGTTAAGGAAACTTCTCAAAGTTATACTGAAATAATTTAAGATTTTAAATCTACAATCAAGAATCCCTTTGATGTAAAGAGTGCAAAGTGGAAGGTTTTTAAGATATTCTATTAAAACCATCAATACAACATTCCAAGAACACATTAATGATGTTCAAACACTTGGAGTGCTTTTTGGTTAAAATATGAAACTCATCTTATATGACATATTCAATACAATGAAAGCAATACCTTCAGCATTAACATAGCCCAAAAAAAAAAGTAGTTTCTTTAAACTTTAAAACAAATTACCTAGAAAGATGAGCATAAAAAAGAAAAATTTTGTAGCTGAAGATAATTCTGGGGAATTTGTTCAAGTTCAAAAAACTAAAGACAAAAGATCACTTATGCGCAAGTCTGTACTTCATATTACAGTATTATAAAATTACTGCATAGAAATAGTTGGATTCTATTCCCCAAGAGCTAACATTTTCAGTGATATATTTACATATTCATTCAAATGACAACCATGAACAGCTAGTAGCACCTTATTCCTCATGCCCTTCAATCCTTTTTCCATTAATAAATCTTGTAATTGTTTTATTGCGCAAGAACATTAAAAATTTTTACTTAATTTAAAGAATATTAAGCCACTGATCATCTAGGCACCAGATTTCGACCTCAATGTTTTGTGGTCAAAATGTAAATAAACTCACAATAGACATTCTTTAGGAAAAAAACTCCTGTACTGAGAGAAACCCAGTGATTTCTCTCAAGAATAAGGTTGCTAATATGCTAAAAGATTTCAAAAATCATTCTCAACAAAAGGTTTACTCTTCTCACCATGATGCTATTTACCCTGAAGAACTTAACGGTTTTTTTTTTTAAACAATGCTCAAGCCAATACAAAAACGGTAATTAAATGCATTCTTTCCTAAGGAGATAAAAAATGATCATCATCATTAGGCACTCGGAAAATACAGAGCAGTGCATAAACTGAAATTGTTAGCCTCTACTTCAAATTTAATTTTGCTCACTCCTTAGAGGCACACAGAATAAATCGCAAATTTGCCTGTTTGCCCAAGTACAGTAATTGGGTGGGTGGGTGGGAATAAAATTCAAACTTAAAAATATATAACCCTTGGTGCCACCGATTAAGTGCAGTCTTAGGTTTGGCTAGTACTGTCATATAATATATGAATTCACAAATCTTGCCTTCCTCACTAGAGCCACGACAACTGTTAAGACCTTCAGCAGTTTTCAGGTACAAGACCTTCCACCTCTCCCACTCAAGTCTTCTTTCCCCAGTCCAAGAATTCAAAAGAAACGACTTAGAATTCTAAGCAAGCCAAATCCCCTCGATGTTTAAATCAAAAGTATACGTTCCTAAGGGGCAGCAACATAATCAAAATTTGCCAGGCCTGTTCCAGTAATCCCACGACGGCGACCTTTATGGTGCCTTAAATTCAAGCGCAAATACCAAAGGCGCTTAATGAAGTTCCAAAGTAATATTGTAGTTTACCAACAGCAAGAACCAAGCGGCATTTCTGTAAAAATAGTAGACTCGAGGTCTCAAAGGGTTTTCTTTTGCGGATGGAGGGGTGTGTGGCGGTGGTGGTGGTTGGGGAGGGTCCTCCAGATGTGACTACAGGGTCGCTTAAGACTGACAGGAGGCCTCGACTTCCCTCCATCATGGTACCCGGGCAAGGCGGTGGCTGCTTCGAGGGGCTCGTGTCTCAGCCGCAGCCCCGAGACCGCTACGCCGGCCACCCCCGAGCCGACCGACCCACCACCGCGCGGTCTCGTGTCCGAGCCCCTCTCTCTTAGGAGCCGGGAGAGGGCCCGGCCAGAGACCCACTCCCCCTCGCTCCCAGTCCCCGCCGAGCCCCGCGGCAGCTCCGACCTCGCGCCGGCTCCTCCCCGTCTCTGCCCGGAGCCGGGCCCCGCAGCTCGCCGCCCCGCCGCCCCGCCGCCCCGCCGCCCCGCCGCCCGGCTCCGCCGCGCACGGCGCATTGTGTGCAGCGGGAGCCGCTCCCCGTTCCGCGGCTGGCCAGCGGCGGGCGGGGACGTGGCGGCCCGGCCGGCGCACATGTCGCGACCGCCTTCTGCCGGCCGGAAGCCGGCGGCGGCGCTCGGGTCCGGGCATGAGGACCGCGTGCGCGAGGCGCCAGGCAGGGGCAGCGGCGCGGGCGGGCGGGCGGGCGGGCGGAGGGATCCGGGGAGCGAGCGGCGGGGGAGGGGCGGCCGAGCCTCCCGGGCGCCGAGAGCGGCTCGGCGCGGGGCGGGCGGCGCGGGCGGCGGCGGCGAGGCCTCGAAAGGATACTTGTTGCACGGTTCTCTGGATGGTGGTGTCTGGGGACTGGGACTCCTTCAGCAGCTGCAGGATTTGCTGAAGCCCTTGCTCGTCAGGTTTCCACTCATACTCCATCTTGGTTTGCTGCAAATAAAGCCAGACACAGGAAGAGACGAAGCGAATGTTACTCCCCGTGCACAGGCCCGAGGGCTTCCCACGCCGAGCAGCCCCCGGCGGGCCGCCGCGACGACCCCAGCGCTCCCCCGACGCCTCAGACCTGCTTCAGGTGCCCCTGAGGGGAGCCTCGGACGGCGAAACCCGGGGGAACTGAGCCGAGCAGCGCGGCCGCCAACGTTTGCTGCTGCCGCCGCGGCCGCCGAGCGCAAGGAGCCGACCAGACTGAGTCACCGCGAATTTGCAATCTGGCCCCTAGATCCGCTCGCGGGAGCCCCCTGGGTCCTAGTGCCACGCACATTTCGCCAAGCCAATCCAAGTTCCGTTCAGATTATTAGTGATTTAAGGGCTAATCAAGTCAGTCTTTATCGAAACTCTACAGAACACCTGAAGAGTCCTGGTTTTGGACGTTTTAACATGGTGAGCGATAACGATTAAAAGAGAAGGGAAACTGGTAATTCCTGTGATAATTTAACAGTACTTAGGAAAAAATGTTTCACGTTTCAGCTTTATGTATAAAGCACAGATAATAATAATAATGATAATATCTGGCCTAAAATACTACAGACATTGCGATCAAAACCTTCAAGGGGGGACGCCAAATACTATATTCGCAGATGACTGGAAATAAATGCTCTGTTTCATAAAATTGTTTAACTCTTTAAGTCTTAGGTGAAATAAATCCCATCTGAATAGCTAAATTTTATAACCAAGGCTTCTGAGCTGAAGGAAAAACTAGAACATTAATGTAATCTACAAAAAGTGTTTAATTCTAATAGTTTCACGTACATTTTCTCATTTGATTCTCACTGGAACTTGGGGAGGCACAGAAACTATGGTGTAAAAAATCTGAGCGAATTACGAAGTTAATTTGTGAAGAGGGGGAGAATACAGATTTCTTAAACTACCAGTTGCATCTGATACAGTCGATTAAAATATTACATCAATGACATGGTTACATTAGAACCATTAAATGCTTCAAAACAAAACTTAAGTATCTGGCATAAATTGTAAAGAAAATTAGAGTTTGCCAAAGGAGAGGGACTCTTAACTACATGATGGTTGACAGCTGAAATCAATCCTTTCTTTAGGGAGGGCTAAAAAAGTTTATGTCATTGAACCTCTACTCTATGCCATTTTTCTTGTTCTTCTTAGTTTTTTCCCTCTCATTTTCTAGATCTCTGTTCTGCTCAGTATCTCATAATCTGGTCACGCTTATTACCACTTTATAGGGACTTCCTAAAAAACCTATTCAATGAACCACTGTTAATTAAAACCCCAAAACTCAAAATCAAAAAATCCTGAGAACAACAATCACCTAGACATGTTAATTAAATATAGCAAATGTTTTGGTGTACATATTTTATACAAAAGAATTATCTTGTTCCTTCCCTTCATTAAATGTTTAAAGTGTTATTAAAAACAGTATTTTATTATTGCTGGGCCAAAACTTTATAATAAACTTGTGGTTGCAATATACACACAAACCTGTGCAAATTATAAGTATATACATAGGTAGATTTTTACAAAGTGAATAACCTGTGTCACCCATACCCACATCAAGATATTCATCATTACCAGGAAACAAGATTTGCCCTTACCCATTCTGAGTACTAATAACACTCCCCACCACCAAGTAATTACTATTATAATTTATATCATTCTAGAACCCTCCTAAAATAGAAAAGCTTTCTTTTTATCCCAAAATTTTAAAAAATCTGGTTTTTGTGTCACACCTGTCGGTGCTCAGGGATCACTGCTGGTGAGGCTCAGGGGCCACTTGCGGGCCATTTGCAGTGCTGGGAATTCACTGGACCTCGTCAGCTACATGCAAAACAAGTGCCCTAACCACTGTACTGTCTCTCTCCAGCCCTCTTTTTATCTCAAAAACTTTTCAAAAATTATAAAAACTATCTTATAATATTGTCATACAGGAAAGTAATCCTCCCTTCAAGTTGTTTCCTGAGCAAAGCCATTTATTTTGTTTGATGTGAATTCTTTTCTCCTTTTAGTCTCATATATACATACAGTTTTGCACTGTTGGGATTTTATATCACACTATATACTGTAATTCTATAACTAGGGTGGGGGTGGGGAGCATCGCATTGAGTACTGGCCCACACCTTGCCCCGTTTAGGGGCTAATCCTAGCGCTGTGCTCAGAAGTGACCCTTAGAGATGCTCATGGAACAATTTGCTGGGAATTTAAACTAAGGTCTCTCAGAATGCAAGGCAAGTGCCTTAACCCCTATATTATCTCTCTGGCCCTGTAACTTCTAAACACATAAACTGCCATTACTCCAGGCCAATAGAGAAATATAACTCACTTTTAAATAGAAGTGCATTATCTTTCAAATGAATATAATTTATTCAGCCATTTTCTGGCTGGCTTCCAGATTGCATCTAATTTTCCTGTCAGCACACACACATTCCAGTACCCTTTTCTGTAACCTATAGTGAGATTATCAGGCAAAAACTATGTGTATTTAAACATTTCTAGCAATTGTTATCAGGATTCTTTCCAAAAAGTTATGCAGTTCACAGTTTCCCCTATCATTGCCAGCACATTCTTTCAAGTTTTGTGAATCTACTGGGTGAAAATTTAATTTCTCTAGATTCTGGAGGATGGGGAAGGTAAAGGTCTGAGCCTTAGTTATGTGTTGGAGCTGGTATCATGCACCTCCACCTAACAGGCAGATATCTGAACAACTTAAACTCATCAATCGCTCTTTTAAATAAGCAAGCCAGCCACTGGTCAATGGTAGTCAAGTTCTGATCTATATCATATCTGTCCTGAGTATGAACATGCCATATTATTACTATGCTTTATTCCTGCATTTTCATATATAAAACTGTTTTGCTTTTTAAAAAGCTGAGTATTAAGAACAACTGGGGTTTGCAGTAGTCAAAGAGCAAACACCTTGGTGGGATGCGACTGGGGGCTTAACCCCTCACCCTACATTTGAACAAAAAGAACATCTGATTTGACCAGTCTGTGGTAACAGTATAGGGAGAATGAAGACAAATATCACTCTTCTCACACATTTCACCTAGTTATCTGGAACCAAGGAGGGGGAACCAAGGACCAAAGTTAGGGGTGTGGCTCAAGTGGCAAGAGCTCCTGCCTTGGATGAGGCCCTGAGCTTAATCTCTGGTATTGGGGGAGAAGTCTAAAAAAATACTTGATTGGTAACTAACTGGCTGTTAGGAAATTTCAGGCTGCAGGCAACTTCTGGTATGAAATTTTTCTTTCTATGGTAAATAAACATGACATAAAATTTAGCATTTAACTATTTTAAGTATACCATGTAGTGGTATTAAGTAAATGCTTATTAAACCATCACCATCTCTATTTCTAGAACTTGTATTTTAAAATAAATTTATTGAGTATAATTGGGTTTCCAGTGCCCATCATTTTTGATATTTGTATATACTCTGAAATTACCACATCTACTGACAAATACAGAATTTTTTTTTCTCGTGATGAGGAGTTTTAGGATCCACCCTTAGCAACTTTCAAATCTATAATACAATATTAACCAGTCACTGTACTGTACTTTACATCCCCATGACTTTGTTATAAATCAAAATTTCCACCTTTTATTCTCAATTCATTTCACCTACCATACCATAACTTGCTATATTTCAATACTGCACTGTCACTGTCCTCCCGTTGTTCATCAATTTGCTCGAGCGGGCCCAGTAATGTCTCCATTGGAGACTTTGTTGTTACTGTGTTTGGCGTATCGAATACATCACGGGTAGCTTGCCCAAGGATAGTCAGAGATCACAGGGTTCATACAAATAATGCCTTGAAATACATTATTATTAACATTAAATGTTAATTAACATTATTGTAAAAATAATGACTAGTCTTTTTTTTGCATAGTGGAAACGTCTATGTTTCTCAAAAAAGAGAAATAGAGGCCAGAGAGACAGTTCATGGGTTAAAGCCCTTGTTCTGCAGGTGGAAAACCCAGATTTGATCTTTCATCCCCAGTGTACTATAGATTCCTCAAGCAATGTCAGGAGAGAGAGAGAGACAGAGAAGGAAAGGGAGAGACAAAGAAGGAAGGAAAGAGAGCTGAGGAGGGGATGAGGGGGAGGAGAGAGGGAGAGAGGGAGTGAGGGAGTGAGTGAGAGAGAGAGAGAGTGTGTTTAAGAGAAGACTGGATCATGCCATTCAATCATGAGCACCGAAATCTTCTCTTCTCCCCTGCCCCACCCCAGCCCAAAGCATTCCAATAAACCAAAATACTCATCTGAACCATCTACCACGATTGACACCAGAATAAAAAGTAGTCTTCAAGAAGTGTATTACAAGATAATTTGGGGCCTTTAGAAAACTAAGGTAAGAGTTCCACGATGGAGGTCAGAGAGAGTTCAATTCCCAGCCCACCACTGCCAGGTGTAGTACTGGTGACCCCTAGGCACCAGAGATCCATTAGAGATCAGAATGGAATTTACTAACTATTGTGAATTTTCTAGTTGAGTGAGGTAAAGAAGTCAGAGTGATTGAAAAAAGTAAAAATATCTACTCTTTCCTTCTGAAGGGATTGTAGGTGTCAAGTCAAACCATCTAGGTTTAAAGTCCTAGTTCTTCCACTATGTAGATGTAGAAACCTGGGCAAATTAATTCTGTCTCTGAGCCTCAGTTTTCCAAGTATAAAATGAAACTACATCAGGCTGAAGTGATAGTACGGTGGGTAAAGTGCTTGCCTCACATGCAGACAACCCAGGTTTGATCCCTAGCACCACATATGATCTCTGAGCACACACCAGGAGTGAGCCCTGAGCATAGAGCCTAGAGTAAGTAAGCCCTGAGCATCTTTCCTCTCCACCCACAAGAAAATATCCCAATTCAGTAATTGGAGTATATGCACTGATACATTTGAAATTGTTTTAATGCATCACTGGTTTTATATCATTGCCTGCAAGATAAAAATTGAACATGTTTTAGGTAAAAGGCTCTTCAAGATCTGGGCCATCACCTCCAAGAACAGCTTTATCTCTTACAACTCAATCTCTGACATTTTGTTCCAAGCAAAGCATTAGTGCCTATCATTCCTGAGTCCTATCTGGAATGTCCTCTTTAGACCATGTGGCAACCCCCTTTCCACTCTTCAGAGCTATGTTCAACAGTCTGCTTGGAATTACGATTGATGTTGGATACTATTTCTTTTCTGGTATTATTCCAGGATTTCCCACATCTTTAAATGTTTGTTAAAATTTATTATTATGGATCTATATTTGTGTCTTCTCATTCTAGAAATTGTCATATTGCATTATAATCATTCTCAGGTCTGTCTTAG